ATAACCCACCAGCAATGTAGCCCATATAAAGTGAAGTGGCTTCGTTGCAACCCTTTGCTACTGGTCTGGTCGAGGAATATGTCTTTCCAAAGAATTGTGGCTGTACGCTTAGCTATATCAAAACACCATATGACTACATAACTTGATAATCGAGATACCTCTAGGTGTGATACATCCTTGATCATTACTTTTGAAACGCTCAACCTCAGATTTGGGAGGGGCTCAGGAGCTCTGAGACAGCATCCATCATAGAAAGCTGAGTACTCGGTTTTGATGAACATATTTCCTGAGCCCCTTGTGTTTTCCCCGATCTCCTTAGCCTCCGAGTTGACTCTTAGATTGGTGTCTCTTGCAGTACTCAGTGCCGCCTCTCGATGTCGCCCTTCAAATACCACTGCTATTTCGTTGTGTATTCGTCCACTGGCTGCATTCTCACAATCTGACAAAGCCAAGGATAACTTCGTGGCTTTTCTTCGCCCTTGTATGGTAGCCCTCATTTGTCTCTCCAAAGCGCCACCTGCTCTCGTTCTAGACTTCTCTGCAGTGAAATTATATTGACAAATACCTCTCAGTTGCTAGTAAAGAATGAGCTGTCCTTCGTATTCGTACCATGAACAAGCAATATCCACCGGAATTTTGTGTCGACCAAAATGTGTATGAAACATACTTTGCTGGCATCTTTTCTTTCGCCATATCACAAGTTACGAATCTTGTTGCTTTGCGTTTTAAGCTAAGCGACGTGCAATTATATGAAGAGTTTCTAGCAGATCTGAGTCTTCGGGAGCCTCTCGCAGATAAGTATGACTTTGTTCAGAAACGTTGGTGAGGTATACAATGATCGTACTCGAGTCCTAGGAGGACGGAATGGCAAGTGTCTGCCTGCACATTACAGGGTTGGTAGAACTCAGGTGCCAACTTTGGAACTCCTATTTTGAGGGCGGGATGCCCGGAGACTCTACTGGTGTAAAATCGTCCAGCTTTACTGTGGTTAGTTGGAAGCCAACACGCACTAACAGTTTGCGGTGAAATCCGCCATAATACAAGGTCACGTATGTTATAGTACTATTTCGAGGCGCATTCGAAGTCCAGGATCTAAATCCTCCAACGACGTCATTGTCATCACAATCAACCACTCACAACCACCTTCTACCTATGGTAAAATCTAATCAGTCTTCGTTGTGGTGTATGCCTTAAGTAAGCGCCCAAGCGATTCAATTCTGATAAAAGCCGCTTTGTGCTTGGCTTTTTTATGATTATTTCAACCTCGTCAGAAACCAAAATCCTCTCTCACTCCAGCCAAGATGGAGGTTCAGCCAATTGACCAACAATCTCTCGAACTAAGGGGTCTTCCTACCAAACCAGGAGCGTCCCACATTCCAAGCGCGATCAAAGGCGCTGCCAACAAGCTTCTCTCTTCTCCTGATCCTGGTCAGCATGACCAAGAACCATCAAGGCAGGACGATCTTCAACCTCGGTTGGAGGAGTTGCCTGTGGGTGTAGCGCCGTCGCAAATGAGAGTGTCGAAGGCGAAAGGCATTACAGTAATTATAACGCTAGCTGGTGTTAACTTTCTCAACACCATGGGTTCTGGTATTCTCATTGCTGCGCTTCCGAGAATAGCGAAGGATGTCGGGCTCTCGCAAAGTCTGATTCTCTGGCCAGCCGCTGTTTACGCGCTAGCAGCTGGGTGTCTCTTGTTGATCTTTGGTGCTGTAGCCGACATCATAGGCGCCAAGTTGATGTGGGTTACGGGGAGCTTCCTCTTCGTGATCTTCACTACTGCTGTAGGGCTGGCCAAGACGGGGATTCAAATCATTTTATTCCGGACTCTTCTCGGTGTCGCGATTTCTATGTGTCTACCGACCGCCGTGAGCCTCATCTCCAATACATTCCCGAAGGGTACATGGCGCAACTTTGCGTTTGCAATGAACGGCCTGGGAAGTCCTTTGGGATTCGCTCTTGGCCTGGTTCTCGGCGGCATTTTCGTTGACACTATTGGCTGGCGATGGGCATATTACATGATGGCTCTCATCAATTTCTGTCTTTCCACGGCATCGATTTGGTCCTTGCCATCTATCTATCATGCTTCCGAAAAGAAATGGACACGCCGTCTCGTTGAAGACATAGACTGGCTGGGTGCAATCATTCTCACCGTTGCTCTGGGCTTTCTCCTATACGTCTTGGCCATGACAACATCATCATACCGGAAGCTGCTCCATCCCGAGAATATCACGCTCCTCTCCGTGTCTATCGCTCTGCTCATCGTGTTTCCGCTGTGGATGAATCACCAGACGAGCAGAGGCCGACCGGCGCTTATACCGAACAAAGTCTGGCAGAATGCGTCTTTCACAACAATCTGTATCTCAGTCTTCTTCTGCTGGGCGTCTTTGAATGGCATCGAATATTTCACAACCTTGTTGTAGGTCATTTGATAACCTTAATGCTGATGTATTGCTGTTTGACTGACTACGATATCTCTAGCTTCCAAGAAGTTCAACAGATGTCAGCTATCGAGAGCTCAATCAAGTTTCTTCCTCATGTCATCATGGGTGCTTCCGTGAACATTGCCACAGCGTATCTAATTTCTCGCGTCAAGGTCCAGACGCTGGCCGTCGTGTCTGCACTCGTGTCCGCAGTAGCACCAGTTCTGATGGCAACAGTGAAGATGGATGCTTACTATTGGTTCGCACCTTTTTGGGCTATGTTCTTATCTCCTATGAATCCAGATGGTAATGCCTCGTCTGTCAATCCCCCAAAGAAAGAAAGAGAAAGCTAACAGTTATATGCCAGTCCTTTTCACAGTCTCAAATCTGGTCATTTCCGACGCCTTCCCACCCGAAATTCAGTCCCTCGCCGGTGGCGTCTTCAACGAGGTAGCACAATTCGGAAACTCAGTGGGGCTGGCCGTGACCGCTGCGATTGCGGCCTCGGTAACAGACCATACCACTGTGCATGACCAAAAAGTGGCCCTTATGGAAGGATATCGCGCTGCATTCTGGACCATTTTTGCAAGTTGCGCTTTTGTCGTGGTTGTGACATTCTTCGGGTTGAGAAAAGGAGGCACTGTGGGTAAGAAGGACGACTAAGACTACAGATAAGGAGGTACCGGCTCGGTTGTAACCTGAAGGACTATCAATGACTGGTTTGTGACGGTCTATGAGTAGTATAATTGGAAACTGGCAGATGAATTGATATCTGTAATCTAGCTATACAACATATCGTAAGTCCATTGATCCTGCGGCACATCACTAAACTTGATACTCGTAGGATGTTTCTTCCGTGCTGGCAATATGCGTTTGATATAAAGATCGCCGACGTTAATCATTCCATATTTCGGCTCCTCTCCGTCTATTTTGCAACATTCCAGCACCTCCAAGTTTACATCAGGGTCCATGGTCAGGAAGAATGGAAGAGAATATCGCTCTAGGCCTGTCTTATTTCTGACTCTGTGTACAGTAGCAGGGAATACACCATTCGTCTGTCGCTCGAGATATTGTCCTACGTTGCAGACAAATGTCCCTGGCTGTGGAGGCGCATCGACCCACAGGCCGTCTTGGTTAAGGACCTCAAGAGCCGTGACATTGTCTTGCAGGACGAGGGTCAACCCTAGGATTGATGTTAGGATATTAAGGCTTCTAGGTAGATGATTGGTTGCTTACAAGAGAAGTCGGAATGAGCTCCAAGTCCAACATTATTTGCATCTTTGTCAAGTGGTGTTGGTGGGTAGTACAGCGGTCTCATTCCAGTAATGGGAAACTTGAACATATCATCGAAAGCATTCTCGTCCAGATCAAATGCCAAAGCAAAGAGCTTGACCATTTTCATTGAAAGAGGTAGGATGTGATTGTAGTAGGTGTAGATGCCCTCTCGCCACCAGGGAGCCTTGGACGGCCAAATATTTTGTGGGTTCTTGATGTGAGCAGGCGGCTGATGACCAGTCTTGCCGACATAGTCCTGCTCGGGCTCCCGTACACAATCACCCATTGTGAAAGCCTCCTTGATGTCTAAAATTTTCTTATAAGCTGATTACAGAAAATTGAACGTTGTACTTACCCCCCTGTGTTCTTGGATCAAGTCTAGTTTCCAACATTGGCTCGTATCCTCTTATCGCTGGGTTCTTCTGTACGTGTGCATCCATCTTAGTCTCGATGTCTAGAGCAAAGAAGCGCTTGAGCAGGTCAAACGCCCCCTTTGTAACTTCTTCTGGTATTCCATGATTTTTTATATAGAAGAAGCCACAGTTATGACAGGCGTCGTAGATATCCTTTGCAATTTTCTTCCTATCCTCAATTGAAGGACTGTCGATATTGGAAAGATCAACTGTCGGTATAGAGGTGAAGGAGGAAGGCTTTTCTGAGACCTTGCGATAGGTTGCCTCTGAGCCAGAATGAAAGTAGACATATTTTCCGTCTTCCTACACACCGGGCGTTAGCTTGTGGCAACATTGAGAGTCTAGAAACGAGAGTTCGGAAGACGCACCGGCTTGTCGAGCAGTGGCGCCGCTGGCGCTCCCACAGGTGTGGCAAGAGCGGTGGCCATTTTGACTCTTATCTCTTATGAAAAGAAGATAAATCAGATAGATTGTGGTATCAATTTGAGGCTGGATTGGCCTCGGATATAGGTCTCACGAGAGCCTCTAAAGTTGTCCGATGGACCGGACCCCGCAACGACCCAGTGCCCTATCTCAGTCCAAGACTCACTATGGCTCCACTATCCACTCTCGTGTCGCGTAACCCTGCCTAGTGAAGCCTCGCGGCAGGCATCGCAATCATCCCTAGCTTCACCTTTGCCGTGGAACTGTTTATCAGGCAAAGCCGCTAAAGTCAATGGTCGGCCGGCGTTCCCCGCTCTTGCGATAGGTCTGATAATGGGTGGGGAGGCGATATCTTGGAAATAATTTTTGGAAATGATAAGTAAAGGTATCTCGCCAAGGGCTGTGACCTGAATTTTGAAATCTTTACACTCATCCATTGAAGCTTCCTGTGTGGCCGTCATTCAGAATGTCGTCTATCTCTTACTACGTGAAGAATATCTTCGCTTCGTCGTACGGCAATGATCGGCCGGCCTTCTTTATTTGGCACCCAAAAGGCACTAGTTCCAGTGAGAAGAAGTTGCTCTTTAAAATTGACTTCTTCATTCTGACATACGGATGCCTTGCCTACTTCGCCAAATGGCTGGATCAGGCCAACCTCAGCAATGCCTACGTCAGTGGGATGAAGGAAGATCTCGAGATGTTCGGCACTGAGTTCAATCTGGCTACGACTTGTTTTCAAGTTGGCCAGATTCTGGGACCAATTCCGGCAAATATTCTGCTGACTTGGATTCCTCCAAGAATGCTACTCCCAGGTCTGGAGTTCATATGGGCTATCTTGACTATTGGCACATATGCTGTGACCAGTGTACACCAGGTTTGTTTTCCGACTCCCGCGCTTTGAGAAAGCTTTCTCACAATTATAGCTATATCCCATTCGTTTCTTCATCGGTTTCCTCGAGGGTTCTTGCTTCGTCGGCATCCAGTATGTTCTTGGTTCCTGGTACAAGAAGAGCGAGCTTGGCAAGCGCACCGCTATTTTCGCCTGCGCTGCCTACGTTGGAACTATGATCAGTGGATATCTACAAAGTGCCGTCTTAGCTGGCATGGATGGAAAACATGGACTTGAAGCTTGGCGATGGGTTTTCATCATTGATGGCATCATCACCGTCATTGTAGCCCTCTACGGATTCATTTTCTTCCCTGACACTCCCTACAACACTAAGGCATTCTATCTCAGTGAAGACGAAAAAGCTCGTTGCGTCGAGAGATTGGCCGAAGATGGACGTACCGAGACAACTAACTTCACCTGGAGTCTCTTCTGGCGTACGCTCAATTCGTGGCAGCTCTATGTCTTGACAGTTCTCTGGATGTGAGTAATTTGACAAAGGAAACTTACTTGTTGCTAAATGTTCTCAGGTTTTGGAACACCACGGTCGGCAAGGTCGCGAATACTGTGATGCAGCTGTATCTCAAGAATGACAAGGAGCACACTTGGTCACTTTATCAGGTCAACAATATCCCAACAGCAATCAACGGTTTCAATATCGTCATGGTTCTCCTGCTCAACATCTTTATCGACACGACTGGTTACCGCATGCGGGCTGTTGCACTCAACCTGTGCATTCTGCTCTTCGGAACGATCTGCCTGGTCGTGTGGAACATCCCGCTCGGTCTCCGTATCGTGTCATACATGTTTGCAGGTCTCGACGGGCCGCTGTCTCCCATTTACTACTCTTGGGCCAATATCTTGACCACTGGAGACACCCAAGTCCGAGCGTTGGTTCTTGCCATCATGAACTCTTGCGGTGCCGCTCTCACGACGGTTATTCAGCAATTCCTGTACCCTGTCACAGATGCTCCGAAATACCCCAAAGGATTCAAGGCTAGTCTCGGGTTTATCTGCGGAATGTGTATCTGGGTCGTTGTTGTCCGCATTTTCGAGATGAGATCCCTGCGAAAGGCGCAAGTTGTGGAGGCAGCCGAGGGCAACTCAGAGACATCCGATAGTTCGCCTACTTCGCTTGGCGTGACGATGGATCAGAAGGTTTGATACGGACGGTGGAGATAACAAGCTGTGGTTATCAGGGTTGAGGATAGGGGAGGCGAGCTTTTATCTACGTTCAGGATAAGGGATAGATCTTTTATCTATCAACAAGATAAGAGGGACAATCTCTATCTTGGATCAGATAAGGGCTGATAAAGTGCTATCTTTCATCAGGACAGGGGAATGAAATGACTATCTGGTCTATCTGGCTATCAGGCTGGGGGATGGGAGCTAGAGAGATACTGAGATACAGAAATGAACGGCGTGTTTGTTAGTGCGTGTTAGTTCAGACAAGTGCCTCCATAGAGCGGGGAAACGGACCCGGCCGACGCTGCCCGATCAAGGTGCTTATCAACGGCATGGCTGCTTCCTCTTGGTGGGAGAATTCTGAGTTGCCTGATAGTTTGACAATTCGCCTGCTCTGGGTATCTATCTCTCTTTGTGACCAGCCTTAACAATTACTACCACCCAGAATGAGCGCAACGCAGACCATCTCGGCTTCGGCCGGATACACCAAGCTGCGTCTATCCTCCGGCAATGGCCCCGTGTACCGCAATGTCCTTCCGACCCCGCTCCGAGACGCTGACCCTTCCGAAATCCCGATCATTGATGTTTCCGGCATAAGCAGCTCCTCGCTTGCTGACCGTGCTGCTGTAGCGCGAGAGATCCACAACGCTGCCACCAACAACGGATTCTTCTACGTGACCAACCATGGAATCCCGACGGCCACAACAGACTCGGCGTGTGCAGCCTGCCTGGACTTCTTCCGTCAACCATCGGATATCAAAGACAGGGCCAATTCGAGCCAGTCACGATACTTCAATGGCTACAAGCCGCCAAAGTCCCAGCGCATCAATCCATCGGAGTCGATCGACGTGCGGGAAACGTTCTCCTGGACGTATGACCCCAGGTTCGACCCCGCCGTGAGCGATGTGTCCGCCATTCCGCGGGAAATTGCAGAGTACATGCGCTGCGAGGACTTCCCCTGGGACGCCACCGCCAACATTCCACACTTCAGGCAGGCCATCGTCCAGTATTGGCAGTCTTGTCTAGCGCTCGCCCGCGGCCTAGTGCGATCCTTCGCGCTCTCACTCTCCCTCCCAGAGGATTATTTTGATGAAAAATTTAGTCATCCAGATGCATCCCTCGCACTCAACTATTATCCGCCAATCCCTGCTACATCGTCGCCATCCAACGAGGTGTCGATCGGCTCGCACACAGACTTCCAACTGTTTACCATCTTGTGGCAGGACAAGAATGGCGGGCTGCAAGTTCTGAACAGGCAGGGTCAGTGGATCAACGCGGCGCCGATTCCCGGCACACTCGTCGTCAACATTGGCGACTACCTGCAACGAATCACAAATGACAAGTATGTAAGCACGGTACATAGGGCGCAGAACTTCAGTGGCAAGGAGCGCATCAGCATGCCGTTCTTCTTCGGTTTTAACCTCAATGAGAGCTGCGGGGTGTTGGATGGCTGTCTAGCCGAAGGCGAGGAGAAGAAGTACGACGAAATAAGCTGTGTGGACTGGGTGCGTCGCCGAGTCCAAGCAATGCATGAGACTGAGTCCGACGATGATGAAGAGAGCACAAAGAAGATTTAGTTATTATTGTAGATTGTCTATACATCTTGGAATGTAATCACATCTGACTGAATGCATGCGCACTTTTGGATCCGTACCATTGTAACAACTTGGTACTCAGTGCCTGAAAGACGATGTCTCATCGTCACCTTCCTGCTGCTGTGTGGTACTCGAGACGGCTTTTGCGGCATAGAACCTAATCTTCAGCTCCGCTGTGAGGCGACATGCCATGCTCGGGGAGGTTCACTGGAGCGTTCAGCGGTTTTCTCCCATATACAATATGTATGGGCCAGTATGCATGGACGCTTGTATCTCGCAGGACTTTCCTCGCCTTGCTCACAAGCACAAGCACCTCATCCTTGGTATACCCAAGGGCTCGGGTCAATGGAGCAAGTGAAGCAGGCTCAAGTGCCTGGTCCATGTTTGCCAGGCTCCACATGCCCAGCTCCTTGTGCTTCTTGTCGCGAGGCCATCGGTTCGTGGGCCACTTGTACACCACCTCCACGACACTTTCGAAGCCGGCTGCTTCCATCATCTCCTTCCATTTCTGCGCAGCAACAACGGGCCTTTGAAACCCCTCCATACCTTCCATGACGAGCAGCATCCATTTCCAGAGATCCGAGTCTTCGGTCAGTGTTCCGTCATCGCAGCCGAGTGGCAGCGCCATATCCTGCGCCTCGAAATATCCGCCTGGTTCGAGATGGCTAAAATTGCATGACTGTATCAGCCATGGATGGAGAGAAGAGAAGTACTAACATCAAAAGATGAAACTCGAACGCACTTGAAAGCCTTTTCGACTATGCTCGCATTATTTGAGAAGCTTCCGGTCATCATGCGGCTGAAGATGAAATCGAATGGCTGAGACCATGTCCATGCTTTCTCGAGGTCATCAATCTAACGCACTTAACGTTAATGGAAATTATCATGGAAATAAGATGGTATAGAGTCAATATAAACCTCAAAGAAGCAATTTGGCGGGACGCTGTAGGAAATTAGTATGCCTCCCGTAGTAACATTGCTGGTGGGTTTTTGAGGAGCGACGTACAATTCTGGTTGCACTGGGCTTAGATCGACACCTATGACCTGCAAACACTCGTCAAAGAGGCGTACAATTAATGTTATGGCTTCTTACCTCCGTGTCAGGATGAGCATCCGCTATAGATCAAGTCAGCAATTCGAAGCTATGAGCATTGAAGATACTTCGTACCGTAGTCCATGGCCCAGATACCAGTTCCGGTACCAAGATCAAGCACGCGAGATGCACCCTCATTTTTCGGGCACAGGCAATGCTTTCCGCTAATAGTCAAGGTCATAACATGATGCTGTAGATCTGCATGCTCGAGTAAGTTTATATGCATTCAAACGTGGAATAGCTGTGAGGAACATAATCTAACCTAATCTCTCGATCTCAGTCTAAGCAAAGGGGAGATCAGCATGATAATGGGCACAAGTCTCTGCTACTGTGTCGATATAAACCATACATTGTCATTCGGCAAGAAATATTCTATCAATACCAGATTAGTGTGAAGATGGACTTGATAGAAACTGTAACTGACTGCCAGCGCTCAGGGCGTGATACGTTCGCCCATTCTCTTCTTGGTATGCCAGGATGCTGGATCGGAGCGATGACAAGGACTCACTGTAGGGCTGTAGTCATACGAATGTCAGCAGCCGTAAGTGCTTCACACAACGTGCTAATTTAAATAGACTGCAGAGCCTGTACCATGCCGAGCGCCGAATCTCCGTCATTATCATCTGCATCGAGCTGTTTCGAAATGTTTAGTATGCATCCAGTTCTTATTTTTCAATTGCTCCCCTCTGCTCACACTCTGTGTCGGCGACAACGGTGCATCTGCAGCCATGGGCTGCGCTGGAAGCGAAGATTCAGCCATGCCGCCCCGGTCTAAGAAGCAACAAATTGGCTTACTGAAAACATTCAGAATGGTCCCCGGGATGAATTAAGCTATTTTTGTGGCAGGAGGAAACCCTGGGCATTCTCGCCTGAGGCAACAATAGCCTAGAAAGGCTCTGGCAGTGACGCCTCGTTCACGGTACTACATAAAAGTAGAAATGACAGGTCACTGACACCTCCCCGCCGAGTTATGCAAACCCGGCTGCCGTGACACATTCCTAGGGAGACAGCATGGCTGCATTGGCCGATGTTGAGAACAGCGTTGGTTGGCTTGCAGACCCAGCCAGTCACAGATGCGCATGGCTTGGAGGCTGCGCTTCGAGGCTTACACGTATATGCTGGTCGCCGTATAAAGCAATGAGTTCGCCGTTCAATGACGGCATTCCCCCATGCCGCAGCTTGTTGGATGTTCACTAAGAGAATTGAAAGGCCTGTGGCTGGTAGAATTGATTATTTCTCACATTATGTGAACAAGTAATACCGACGTAACATGTTTACCGCCTATCACCAACTCAGAACCCATCATCAATGATCTCCCCCCATGTATGATAATGATAATCTCTCAGTGGATCCACCACGTATTTCTCAAAATCATCCTGGAAATTGTTGTTGCGCGATGACAACCTATGCCGGGTCTGGCTACCAGAGCCATCCAAGACTTCGCACAGCAAGCAAGCCTCCACGGCTCTGTGGTATGAGTCTCCAGCTTGGTCTCTGATGGCGTCCGAATCCAGGAGTCGACGTGCCGTATAGTAGTCAACACCATCAGGCGCCATATCCTCGTCGTCCTCATCATCGTCCTCATCCTCGTGTATCAAGTGACGCATTTCAGAGAGTCTCTTACCAAGCGCAAGCTCGACCAAGGCACAGCCTAGGCGACCCAAGGCGGGATCTATCTTTTGAAAAATGCTCAGCGTTTTCCAAAACTTATCATTTTCTGTTTTATCACTTGAGCCATCCAGACCAAGGGGCATGCCAGCTCCTGAGTAGAATTTTCGTGTAATGAATAAATGAAGTTGTCGTGGACTTCTCCGCATTGAGAAGTCCTTCCAAGACCACCCCTGGTCAATCCATTGAGAGGGATAGAACTTCTTGCCTGTTAGCAAATAGTATCGAGTACAAGTTATCGTAAAACATGCCTGGAAAAGAGCCAGTGTTAGGCTATGAGCAAGGTCCACCCTTTTCCGCCAGGACAAATTCCAAGACATTGAAGGGGCCAGATAGTCCTCGAGGCAAATAACACATTGTGAATTCTCGGAGTCTAGTTTCTGGATTGGAATCTTTACTAGGTACTTATTCTCGTTTTGGCCCAGGTATCCGAGATACCTTGAGCGATGAGATTCAGGATGATGAAGTGTTCTGATGACTTGACACAGGTCAGGGATTTGCGCTGTCCCACTGTCAATTTCAGGTGCCTTTGGGCTGAATATGACCGGTATAGCTCGCTGCTCCCCTCTTGTTGTGGATGTTTTGGTAGATTCTCTTCTAATTGACTCTCTGCTATTTGTTAGTAGATGATCTTAGATGGATATTTTTATTACTTGCCCTCCGTTGCACTCGATCGCACTTTCCATCAAGTCAATGCTAGGGTCCGAGTATGACCGTTGCAACTCCTCGTGAACTGCGACAAGAGCCTCAAAAGCATCTGGCTTCAGCCGAACGTTGATCTCGTGTGATGTCGTACAAGTGCAATGGAAACTATCATTCAATGCTTGGTAGAAATTGTTAAAATAATGCGGGTTCTTACTCAGCCGCTTTAAAGCAGCCAGGTGTCTACCGGGGCGCCGTGACTGGAGCTTAGGATTGTCGAGGACCATCGCAGTCCTTGTCGTCTTCAATGTTCTTCGAAACCGTTTGAGTCGTTTCTCAAGATCTCCAAGATCCTTTCGAAGGCTTGACGCAGGTCTTGCATCTTTCAGGTTTCTCAGAACATTGCGTTCTGTTATTGACGTTTGCTTGTCTTTTGGTCAGGGGAGACTTGAAATCGGAAGAGATCTTCTCACTAAAGTTGCGTCTCCACTGCTAAGTTTTGACTGAACCTGAGAAAGCACGCAGTGAATTGCTTTCATCTGTTCCACGATCAGTGGGAGAGCTTTTCCAAGCCTGTCCTGAAGCTTGACAGCGAGATCAGGGCTGTTCCAGTGATCTCGGCTTTCTTTGGTGGTGTCACTGAGTATAATTCGCTCTCGCTCCGATAAATCATCAACACTTTCAAGCATGTGTGAAACAAGTTCTCGCATAAGATACAGGTCGGTCTTGAATTGAAGTTCAAGGTCGCTGATTGTAACGCCGTCTTTTGCGTCTTTCACAGCCTTCGCAAGACTGATTACTATGGGCCATGTTCCTAAAACAATGCCAACAATCTCTATTCCGGACATATGGAAGATACGATCGTCTTGTGCCTCGGGACTATCCGGAGAGATACAGCTTCTCAACTTTGCTATAGCGAGCAAGTTGTGAGGACTGCTCAGACATGAGAGAACCAGTCTGGTTTGGGGAGATGGGAATACAAGTGGGGGGTTCATACCACAAAACGAACCTCAACAGACTAAATACTGTCTGTCCGGTGGGCCCGGAGGGTAGGCAGATAAAGCCTTGCTTCGTGTGATACATTGTACGCTGCGTTATGCATGTCGCCAAATGAGCGTGGGGTTTACGTCAATGTGCAAAAACGTGCAGCTTCGCCAGTTGGCCTAGACTTGTAAGTGGCGAGCTACAAAAATCGACATAAGTCCGGTTAAAGCCTCCCATTCGCTGCGTGCCACTAGGTCTTACGGCGGCTTGATGCCGGTCGCCTTGCTTCTGGAGATACATGGCAAGGCTGCGCTATCAGGCATGTTGAGTGGCTCAAAGGTGAAAGTCCACACCCTCACCGAGTGAGTCGGCATGGTCCCCTGTTGGCTCGTTAGGAGGGAATACTCGTGTGTAACATAGAGTGAGACAAGCTTGAGGGGTCAGGCGTTTTCTTAGGTTTCATTACCTTATTCCTCCTTGCTGTTCTGTTTAAATTTAAAAAGGCATTCAACAGCCTGCAAGACTTGTTAGATACTTGATGTATACTCATCGCCTAGAAGATTAAGGTCAATACACTTGTCGTAATTTCAGCAGTCGTATGCCACGGAATCTTTCAATCACATAGAATACATTGACATCACAAGACTACAGCCATCTTCCAAAGAAATGGAGCCGCCTCAGAAATCCTCCGTGTGGAGAGCTATGCGAAAGAACAGGGAGTTCAAGCCAACAAAAGCAGTCGTTGCTGCTCGATTTGATAATTGTCGACAAAGTCTAAGTGATTTCTGTAGCATTTATGCATCCCTGCGGCCTCATAATTCTGAGGCAATTGAATCCTCTCAAGACTCCATGGCACAATTCGTGAATTGGGGCAAGGACACAGGAGCATTCGATCAGACACTAGACCGCAAGCTTCGAAATGCGACAGACTTGCGCAACGAGACATCAAACAAGCTTTCGGCACTAAATGACGAGCTGCAGATTTGTTAGTCTATTAGTTTTCTTGGGCTGTTACGAAGCGACTGACTGTCTTTAGCTATTGATACTGGAAGAAGGCTACAACAAGAAGAGATTCTGTTTCAGCGGCAGCAAGATAGCAACGACTCTGACTTGGATCAGCAACCCAAAGAGAACGATGCCGCATCATTCCCTCAAGTCATTGGTGAAATGAAGGTCGAGATACAGAGATTCGACAATACAGTGGAGTATATAAGCCGTGTGGTTGATTCTCTTATGTTGCTAGGCCCAAGCCTGAAACAGCCATATCCTAGGGATCTTGATGAACTGTCGTCCAATTCTGATAGCGCAGAGGCTGATATTCATCGCCATATTGATCGAGCCCGAAAATTGTTCCCCCGAGCTTCAATCACCCTCACAGAAAGACTCGGAAGAGCTAGCTTTCGCCGAGCCCTGGCTTTGGGTAGAGTTAGCAAGCAGGCAGAGCTTGCCAACAAGGCCAGACAAGCCAAGAAGCAGCATAAGCTTCATTCAAATCAGGGATCTAGAGATATGGGCATGGATGTGTTCCAGTTTCAGAAGCCGAAGCTCGAAAACACCGAGGGGACGAAGGACATCAGGATTCTACCGAAAAGAAGCACAGTACTTTCTTTTCCTTCTATTGCTGGGAGCGTAACGACTGGAACACGCTTTACAGATGACGTTTCCGTATTCTCTCGCCCGCTGACGCGCGTGAACTCCGAGACAAATTACGAACCATCGGAGTATAACGCACCACATGTGGACTCACGACGGGACTTCTTTGTCCACCGATATGAGCTGCCAGAGCCCCCTGTGTCTCTCGACTCCAGAGTGCCAGAAATCTTTTCGTGTCCTTACTGTGGATTTGACTACGAAGGAGGCCGGGATATCGAAGGGCTAGAGGAATGGGAACACCACGTATACGAAGACCTTGAACCTTACGTATGCACATTTGACCAATGTCCCCGAGGTCGCGCAACATACAAAACCAAGCGACTGGTACAATCACGAGAAAGATACTCATCGTGCGAGAATGATCTGGCTGTGTGAGTTGTGTGAACGCGAGTTTCCCACGAAGCTCTTGTTAAAGGATCATTTCCTTGAAATCCACCGGGACCACTTTGACAAAAGAACCGCCAACGCAGTGATTAAAGTAATGCGGTCATCTATGTCTAACAGCCAGTTGCAAGATCAAAAATGTCCGCTATGCCAGATGTCATGTGATTCGAGTATTGTGGAAGAGCATATATCGGACCATATGGAACAGCTCGCCTTAGCGACAATTGCAGATGAGGAATCGGCAGGAGAGGATGATGCAGAAGAAACGTTCTCAGTCATCTCAGATGACCTCGTCTCGGAGGGCCGCACTAAGCTAGCTGTTCTTGGCGCCTTTGTAGAGGAACAACTTGGGATCAGTCGAGCGAAAGGACTAATTCCACCAGATGCCAGCTTAGATGATGATGATATCGCATTCATGGACGATAGTGATGACGACTCCAAACCCTCAGTCTCTGGAGCTGGGACACGCCGTGATGAGTTGCGGAACTGGAAGGTTAACCGTCTTCTCGGAAGTCCAGTCGCTAATCAGGATACGGCGGAACAGCCATGGGGTGTGACCAAGAGACCGGATGTGCAAAGTCGATCTTCTCGTACTGGCCGCCCCTCGCTACCATGGATTAGAACATGGCCATACCCCCGTAATGAAGATTTTGTTGGCAGAGAACAGTCCCTAGCGAAGCTGTACCGTATTCTTTCCGAACCTGGATATGTATGCGCCCTTTATGGGGATGGGGGAATGGGTAAAACTGCACTTGCTGTCGAGTTCACCTACCGATACGAACAATCATATCACTACATCTTTTGGATTCAGGCAGGCACCCTCGTCGGTGCCCGAGATACATTCTGCCAGATTGCCCTACAACTCGAACTGGCTCCGCAGGACGCTGAGCAAGAGTTGCTCATTCGACTGGGTAGGGAGTTCTTGGAGACTGTCAAGACCGAGCGATGGCTTCTGGTATTCGATAGCCTAGAGAACTGGCTCGAAGTCGAAGATTGTCTACCGACGCGAATATCCCAGACGAATGGGTCAATTCTTGTTACCACAAGAAAGCATGATGTAGCAGGTTCCCACTCACCCGACCATTACTTCAGAGTACCTATAGCAGAACTAGACCCAGATGAAGGAAAGATGATATTGCTCTCTAGCCTACCGGAAGAATTCAGACCGACGGATGATGACAATCGAGCAGCTGGGGAAATAGCTGCCCAGATTGGCATCCCTTTGACTCTGACGCTCATCTCCGGATATGTGAGGGCCTCTGGACTAAGCCTTCTAGAGTTCTACGACTATCTCAAGGAATGGTCTTCCGACAAGTTGGCAGCAGGTGCTAGAAGTGATAAATTCGATTCTATACTAGCTATGGCACTTAAAGACCAGCATAGTGATGCCCTAAACATTTTAAGGATTATGGTCCTGTTGGACTGTAACGGTATTCAGAAGGAGCTTCTTGTTGGCGACCGAAATAGCCCGTCATATTTGCGACCAGTCAGGTAAGGGAGTCAGATACACAATAGTAGTTGCACATTAGCTAACCTTGATAGGCTCCGAAGAGTTCTTCACGATCTTGCCCAGAACACTTTGATAGAGCTCATCGATGACGAACGAGAAGTATATATAGTCCATAGAATGCTCCAAACTCGCCTATTAGAGGACATGAAGAAAAGTCCCGAACAGAGAGAACAAATATTCCGTTTAGCGTTTGAACTGATCCGCAAGAAACTACCAACTCCCTCTATTGACACCCCCGAGCCGGCTAAGTGGGGAGTATTCAAGGAATTACTTCCTCATGTTTTAAGATTGGAAAAGATCTACAAAGATCCTCTGGCAAAGCGCAAGGTCAAGCCATTCATCGAGCTCGCTGAGCTTTTTCGAGATGGTGGGGTCGCCTTGTGGCAGCGATATGTGGCAAATGATGCAGCTATCTTACTCCGAACGGCTGAAGACATTCTCAGAGAAATTGAAGGCAATCACGAAGATCTTTTGGCTGAGATTAACTACACAATAACTTTGATTTTTCAGAACAAGGGCATCAGCCAGCGCCGAGAAGATCTTGCACGCTTCCAGAGCATTCTTGCCTATCGCGAGAGAGCATTCAACGACAAGAAGCCAGAAGATATTACCCGGAATGATGAAGGACTTCTCTTCAATGCACAAGCTGATTACGCCAACGCGATTCTAGCTCTTGGTAACTACGCTGAGGCTGAACTTATCTACGAAAAATGTCGAGAGACTTTAGTCCAGTGGGGTCAGGATGAACATCAGTTCTCGTTTGCGAAGTTGCATCACCACATGGCTTTCTGCAAGATGTTCCGAGGTGACTTCAAATGTGCTATTGATCTTGCACAACAATCCGTCGACATAATCAAGAAGCTCGGCTATAGCCAGCTTACAGCCCGTTACGAAGTGGACCTTGCCTGTATCATACTCCAGAGTGGAGATATTAAGCACGCACTCGAAATACAGAATCGCATCTTGGCCTCCAGAACGGCATTGAAGGGTAAAGCCTGTTATTTCACTATGCAAAGTTTATATGCTGTCGCTAGCCTTCTTTGGTACACTGGTGACTTGGAGGGAGCTGAGTAAGTGTCCTTGGTAACCTTGAGAATGCATTATTACTCCTTACTAATAATAACTCTTAGAAAGCTTATGCGAGCTGCTCTACAGAAGTCTGTTCAACGCGGCATAAAGGGCTCATGGCCAGAGCCTGCCATTGCGCGCTGTCAGTATCACTTGGCGCAAGTGCTGATGAAGAAAAGCGAGGGGGAGAAAACAGCTGAGGTGTCTGCACTGTTGACGGACTCCAAAACTGTCTTGTCTAAATTGCTGGCACATGATCCACTCAAAGGCGTCAGAGACGAAGACACCCTTGCACTGTTTGACCACCTTCAGCCCCTCTTTGGGGGACGATTCACAGGTACCCAGCTATTGAAATACTATACGCAGGACGAGTAAGTCCAGAGTAGTATAGTTTGTGATTATTACAAGTGGATTGGTATTCAATTGTCTGAGTTACAGCCTCTAATAATATCATTTTATATAGCAACACCCAATCAAATCCTGTCGAGATGACAGTGGAGTCTATTCATGGCTTTCGCTCAGACTGAATATCATTACGACCATAGAATGTGACTAGATACAGTCCCCAAATTCTGGCCGACAATTCATTCCACAGTAAGCGTCAGAGGTGCCGCAATAGTAGAAACGTGAACAACAGCTTCCAAACGAAGATCCAGCACAGGTTGTCCCATTCCCGCACATACCGTTGGTGGATACTGGGCTTGCAGGTGGCTGTGGGATTGTCACCCCTGAGCACTGACCAAATCCAGACCTGCATCCATCGCCACAGAACTCTGTCGAGCTGCCACAGTAGTAGAAATGTGAACAGCACGACCCATATCCTGATCCGGCGCAAGTTGTGCCGTTACCACACATCCCATTCGTCGTGATGGTGAGCCCGCCCGTCGGACCAGGCGGCACCGAGGTCGAGGATGTAGATGAGATAGACGTCGTCGTGGAACTGAGTGTTGAACTTGACGACAGAGTCGAGCTGGATGACAGACTTGACGTTGTGCTTGAGCTAGAAATTGTAGTACTGGTCGTGCTTGAGACCGTAGACGAACCAGGGGATGTAGAGCTGGTCGTAGGTACCGGACTTGATGAGGACGTTGAAGAACTGGGCTCTGGTTCCCCATTACAGTACCCAAAGCCAGTCCTGCAGCCGTTACCGCAAAATGCGTCTCCATCACCGCACCAGAAATAATAAGAGCAACATCTCCCATATGTCGCTCCCGCGCAGGTAGTAGTATTCCCGCACATTCCGTTATTTGTTATGGTGACACCGCCTGCTGGCGGTGGTGGAGAAAACGTTGGTATCGTGGATGTGCTAGTGCTTGACACAAGCACGCTGGAACTAGAACTGGAACTGGAAGCTAAAGTTGAAGTTGAAGTTGAACTAGAACTGAAACTAGTTGGTGATGGCGATGTCACTGGAACAGTTGTGGATGTCGGCAGAGGTTGGTCCTCGCACCAGCCAAATTGTGGCCGACATCCGAATCTATTGCAGTATTCTGGACCTGTACCACAGTAGCCATACATCGAGCAACAAGTCGCTCCAGGACAGATCCTGCTTGCCCCATCAGGCCCGCAACGATTATCATCTTGTCTCCTGTCTAGTTCATCATAGTCCCAGCCTGTCCACGAGACGTTGGGCTCAATGGCGTGGCGGCGCTGAACTCTGATGATTTCCGCAACAACTCGATCATCATAACTCTCGACCAAAGCATGTGATAATCCTATCAAGTACAGAAGTGCACAGAAAACGGCTGGAGCCAACCGCATTGTTAGTGATAAAGGTTTATCCAAGCAAAATTGCAAAGAATGCCTAAAGCGACCTCACTAGGAATCTCACCTGCGACGGGGTGAAGAGGAGAGCTGCCATCTTCAATATTCTGGGTAAACAAACGTCTAAGACCACGGTACGATCTAAGAGATAAGAGTAATGCCGGATTCCGGACAGTGGGTCCAGCAATTAATATATCACCCTTCAGAAGAACTTCCAATTGGAAAAGCGACACAGAATGGCCTAAATACCCGAACACTGACGCTTGGCGGTCTATTTTCCCCGACACGAAGCCTCTCATTCTACGCGGCTGCCGCGAGACTAAACGAGAAACAATTAAGAGCGACGTGGAAAACGCTCGGGTTGAAATCCGGGTATTGATCTAGGCCCTGAAGAGGGCGGGGAACCATGAGATAACACCTAGGTGATGTCCAACTTCACAGAGCTCACCACTTTCATCAAGTTGAATACGACGGTTCATGTACCTGCAGCCAAATAATCTCAAACTAGGCCTATATCACATTTGATATGACTTTGACAAACGATCATCAGGCACAACCCTCCATGCTTGCACTGAACTACGTAATGATGCCTGGCTCATCATAGGGCAGGAGCTATCTTAACGCCTGCTATGCGCCAAGCAGGCAGTTTTCCTGCAGGTCGAAGTCATATGAGTCAATACGTTGTTTGGGGTTAACCGCGTATGCTAATGTGGAGCTAGTTGCTTTCATTCATTCCAGTCTGCTAGGTTATTGGAGCAGTGATAGGAAGATTTGGTACTACAATTAAATCTTTGTGCTCTCAAGAAATTTCACCGATGGCTTTTTCAGTTGTAACCTTCATTTCACGTTATCTCACCAAACCAAACCCGGCTGCATAGATCCTCTTGAATACGCCTAACAATGTGATTGACCCCGGTGGAGCCCATGCACCAGTATGAATAAAGGATCCAGAAAATAAACACCAACAAATTGAAGCTCCGTAACTGACTAGACGCCATTTATGAATGGAATATAGCCCAGTCCGTTCCTGCAGTTTGAAATGCGTTATCGCAGCCCATGCGACCCTCCGCCCCAATCAAGCCGCCGCTTTGAAACATGTCGATAGCACTAGTCATGACGTCTGCAGCATCTGTGTTCCCAATATCTGTGCCGAAGAAGTTGGCGGTATCAACGCCGAATGTGCAGGTTCCGCATGTAGCTAGGCGGTCAAACCGTGGGTCATCGCGGTTGACAGAGTATGCTCCCTGTTTGCTTCGAAGAAAGTCTCGCAAACACTGGCAGTCTCCAACGGTCGGCGAGCCGCCGGAGGTTTTACTGACAAAAGAAGAATCACCGCAGAGGTTGCGATCTTCGCCAGAAGCGAAGAATTGGAAACGTTTCTTGAGAGCTGATGAAGACGGCTTTTCAGCCTCCTCAGATGACTCCTCCATGAGAGACCGATGGTAGTAGACCGTGCGTGTCTCGCCGGTGGAGGTCGCGAACTCTTCCGCAGTCATCTCGGTATCACGCTCTGAGACGGGTGGAAGCACTCCAGCAAAGATGCTAATAGGAAGCGCAAGGATCGCGAAGGCGGTGGTAAAATGCATGGCGAAGTAATAGAAGACAAATCTGGAATCAACTTGTGAAATTTGAATGTATTCGATATTTTGAAGAAAATGTTTCAAAGCTAGATTTCGTTGATGTAAGCTGGTGACTTAGACTGTGATGTTGTATTGAATTCATAACTACAACGGTTTATATAGCAATGATTCTTGAGTAGCCCGGACTCACGAGACACAGCTTTCTCTTCGCCTCAACGTTGACGCTACCTAAAAGTTCGAAATAGAACAGTCGTGATAAATTTGGATGTTTTCGGTCCCGAGAGAAGTTCTTCGGGTAATTTGAAACATCAAGGATTGAATCTAACAGTCTATGTGCCCCCGTGATCCTTCCGACAAAATGCCGGAGTTGGTAGTCCTGAAAGACAGGCCTAAGACAAAATAAGGTCTGGGGCGCAGCGGCTACAGGCACCAACCAGCACCCCGGTCCGCGCCTAACTTTAGGGTACAAGCCTCCCGGTTGACGCTAAACCGCTGTTAGTGCTTTACTACGCCACCCTGGCCAGCTGAATCTCTGCGCCTACGAGCTCATTGAACGTCCCGGTGTTGCATGCCGTACACGCAAATCGCCTTCATATTGCCGAGCGTACGTAATATGTTCTCAATGCCTTTTCGACGAGATTCATTATTTATGATTCTGGGTCTCAAATGTTAGTTCATAACCGCCCATCCCTGGCTCAGGCCTCACGAGACTGTTACTTCAACAAACAAAAGTCGTTTGGACAATGATTCTATCTCTCCGACCATGTTATTATCGATATTCCACCTCAACGATTTATCCGATTTGCCGTGGTCGGAGTTCTTTAGGGTCGCAGTCACCAAAGCCACTCATTCAAGATCTCTGAGTTTACGAGAAGTTCTTATTTCAGTTCCTAAAGAGGTTTGTTTTGTGACGCTTCCAAGTTGAACATTTTGTTTATAATGGCGTTCCATCACATTTCAGGACAGTCTTCGATAGAAACGTACGGTCCATGCAGATTAAGACCATTCTAATTGACTACTTAGCCTCTTCACGAGGTATCGTAGGAAGACTTTTCTGGGCGAAATGGCAGTCCACTGCGCGAACCTTGTGGATTTATCACCTACCAGTGCAGAAGTTCACCAGTATAATTCCAAAACTTTCCACCATGGACTGCCTTCGTAGACTTTTCAATAACATCCACGATTCCGTCACAAGTTGCTTCAAGGTCGTCGCTTGCCTGCTCCAGGCCGAAATATCGCGCTCCTGCATTGCCCAAGTCGGTAGGGACCCAACTATGACGACACACTATTGCTTAATGAGATGAATTACGAATCGAACTTAAAAACTTACCCTGGGGTGATGACGAAGGAGCTCAAAGAGGGCTCTTCGGCATCAATTCGCTTGACTAGCCAATGTGCAGCCACCTTTGATGTCCCATATGCAGCGTTCGGCATTGGCAATTGCTCCCTATAATCATGTCAATCAATGCAGATTCTACTGGTTTATCATAAAGCCAGTCTTACTGTGCAGTAATCAGCGTCTGTTGAGAATACTGCTATAAAGAGGAGACTCACCTCAATATATCCTGCCGTGGATCCAATGTAAGCGAATTTAGCCTCTGCCGACTTCTGCAACAATGGTAGCGTGGCCTGGTACAGCCGGACTGTTCCATAAACGTTGACATCGATATGCGCTTGCAGATCCGCTATCTTTAGATCTGATACCTTCGGCCACGTGTATGAGATACCAGCATTCGCAATGACGACATCAAGGTGGTCTATCCCCTGCGCTTGGAGTTTCTTGACGGCAGCGATGGGATCAGACTCTACGGTGGCGTCTAGCTTGACGACTACGAGACTAGTGCCGGACCCTACAGGCAAATTGAATAGAGCTTTAGAGGTTGGGTGCTCCGGATTGCGATTCGCCGCGATTATGAGATGGTTTGGCTTTGAGAGGTATCGTTTGATGACGCCTTTGCCAATGCCTCTGTTTGCACCGGTAATCAATACAATAGTTTGGGCCATGGTGAAATCCTTCTCAAAATAGTGTATTAGAAGTATTGTGTTACTTTGTAGGCGATATCCATCGAGCCGGTATTCACTCGACAGTCTCTTCCCCCCTTTTTAAAGTAGCTCATTCTCGAAGAGTATTTGTCAGCTTGAGTATAGATTGAAGTGCCGTGCTTGGAAAAGAATATGATCTAAGTAGGATCAAATATTATGATTATTAATAAAACCAGGAGCTGTTTGACGCATTCTCTTGAAGTACCGAAACCCGATGTCAGAGCACCTGTGATTGCCCAATGTGCTTGGTCTCTTTCTTTACGAGTTATGCTACTCATTTCGCCGAATGCAGTTGACTCGCGGTGATGTAATCCGAATTAAGTGGGGCCTGATGTCTCGGCTCTCGGGTTCTGAATGAGCTTTGCTCGGACTTCGAGTTTCTTCGGATTAATTACATCTCTACCTCTTTCACGAACGACTGGGTACGTACGATGGCAGGAGATGGCGCGGATTTATCACCCCGATGGTCGAAGACTTGTGATAGGTGCAAAGATCGCAAAGTGAGATGTATCAGTATGTTCGCAATCGAAACTTCGCGAAACGGCGGAATTATACTAACATCTGCTAAACCTATTAAGTCGACCCTGCTGGAGCATCATGTGAGAGTTGCTCCAAGCGCAAGACTCAATGTCGCTTCAGCAAAACAACTAGGCGTCTGAAGGCTACTATTCCTCGGCCTGGTAGCTCTACAAGCCCTCCTTTAAGTCGTACCCCAGACACGGAACTATATATCGACCGTCTCCTACAGAATCCAGGCTTAGGTGGTGTTAGCATACATGATGATTGTCTGTTCAAGGTCAGCCAGCTGCCCCTTAATGCTGCGAGTATCTAGAGAAGTACCTGTCCACAGAGCTCACACAGAACTTTAGGTTCATGACCAGCATTGTATGCACTCATCCTGCCCCTTTCATGCCTGTGTGGACAGGCTTTGTAGGGGAAGACTAACAAGCCGAGTCCAAAGTAACGAGCTCCAACATTGCCTATTTTTCCGAATCTCGCATCCGACTATTGAGCGATTTGTTAGGAAATGATAATATACGGGGTCTCGTCGAGCGGGCCGCAGCGGCGGTCTCTGAAAAAAGGAGTGCGCAACAGTCGGCTCCCGCACTAAGCTCCCTTGAACCTGTGTCCCGTATCGATATCCATACATCGCTAAAGTATATCAATTCATATTTCGAAATTATCCATCCCCTATATCCATTTTTGGATCGCAGTGACTTCGAACAAAAGACATTAGCTCTGGGAGATGTAGAGCACCTCGAATCCAACCGTATATTTTCAGCGCTGTACTACGCAGTATTGGCTCTAGGATGTCAGTATGCCGAAGACCGATCATTTGAGCCGGCAACTTCAGTATCCTGTCGACTTTTCCACCTCGCGAAGAGGTTTCTCCCAGATGTTTTGTTGACAAAGACTACCTTGACACACCTCCAAGTAAGTCCCCCTTTATTCTTGGTCTTCGGCAATCTAAGTGGCTTTCATTGTTCTCTAGGCAATCACGGCTTTGGTAAGATCGATTCAATTTGCAAGGATAGCTACGATACTGATTTGTACCTTAGGGCATTTATACCTTGAATGCTGCTTGCACCCAGAGTGAAACTCTGATACCCGAAGCCTCCCGTATGGCCCAGGTATTAGGATTTCACCGCATGAAGGCATCTCCTGGAAACGACCCTTCTGCAACAGCTCGATACAGAACAGTGTGGGTAATATACATGCTCGAACGCCAAATCTGTTTCCATGTCGGCAATAGTCCTGTAAGTGCTGCACTGGTATATCCCTTGGCAAAGCTTTATCTTATACTATCTAAGATTCTAGCTGATTACGATATCGGTTGCCCTATTCCGCCCTCAGTCGAATCAATTGTCGAAGGTTTCGACTTCTTCGTTGCAATTCTACAACTAAGTCGACTGTGTAGTAAGGCTTACCAGTCACTTTTTGCAGTCAACGCAACAGTGAACACGCCGCAACAATATAGGATTAGCATGGACTCTATACGAGGCAGCCTCCATAGTTGGTTGGAGTCGATACCTGTGAAGTTTCGCCCAAACATGCCTTTCTGTTCTGCAGACACTTGCACGACCTTTATGTTGCTACGAATACATTATTTATATCATGCTCTTGTGATGTCCATCTGCAGACTGGAACTGCACCTGGAGGCAAAGGCCGAGGCTGACAGAAAACGCCTGGAAGACGCTAAGAAAGAGCTGGTGGGCGCTGCAAGGACGGTCATCCAACTAACAACGTACCTAGATATACGCCCGTATATGCCAAACTGGTAAGTTTTTGCTATGGCTTCATTTTCCGCGAAACGGCAATTAATAGAACGATTTGTAGGATAAAAGGACATGTTCCTTTGTCGGCAATGTTTGTTCTTTTCGACATTGTGGTGCTCAATCCCAATCACCCAGAGATAGACATTAACTTGTCGACATTGAACTTGGCCACTGGGTATTTCAGTCGCCTTGACTATGCAACAGGAGGTCTAGTTCCTCTATCTTTGCTCTCTGGTTTCGTACATATAGCGAATCAGTTTGTGACCGAGCGTCGAAGCCTGCACGGTACAACGAGAATATCGAATGCAGCTCGCGGTACTTCATGGGACAAATCAGTTTCCAGCTTGCCGATTGGCATTGAAAGGGCGGGAGGAGTGGAGTTTCATGGTGCGTCATACTTGTCTTTATGAGATGTTTTATACTAACGGAATTATTGCAGTGCCGGCTGATACCTCAGCGACACTGTTAGATCCCGAGGATCTACGGTATGATACCTCATTCTCCTATCCCTTGTTGATCCCGGAGACAATGGATAGCATAGAAGATGACTTATTTGCTGGCTTTGACTTCACGACGCTGCTTGGCACCATGGTTTCTGATATCTCGGCTTCTATGCACTGGTAATTCATGGGGAAGGGGGGACCTATATTATGTAGCCGCGGGATCAACACAACTCATATCTGGAAAGTCTTGTGACGTCAAACAGAGCATCCGCGACTGCATAGCTGGTTTGCAACACCTCAAAGACGTCGGAGTTCTACTTCTCCGTCATTGGTATCATTGTGATTCCGCTGATTAGGGACAGAGGCCACGACAAATTGGATTTCTTGTAGGTAGAGCGCATGACTGCACCAAGCTATGTACGGCAGTGATTCTTACAGATCGTGTATACATTAAATTGACATATTCGGTTTACAAGCCTCGTGGAACAGGCGTCTCCACGCTGGAGCATGATGCATCTGAAAGATAAGGAGACGCATCAGCGCAAGCACACAACGACATCAAAGATAGAAGTAGCAGAAAGGACCCGAAGTCGTGTCCATGACCTCTCCGATGGTGATCGAGGGGGCAGCATATCCCATATCAATAACGTCGCTTAGTCTGGTCAAGCGCGACTCTGGAGAGTTGGCCCAGGTGATGTGGCCGTAGTCACCGGCATTGAGGTCGCACTTGCGCGTGGAAGGGCTGAGAGCTTGCCTACACAGGTTGTTAGCCCCCATCATTATAGGTTTGATGACAGATATCCAATCCTCGATGACTTACCAGTATGTCCACATTCTGTCCATTTGTCCGTGGTGCACCCAGAAAGCAGGGTCGCCAGGAGAGGTGAAAAGATCACCGCCCGGGTCACCACTATGATTTGTATTAGCGAACACATTAGGTCTGATATTTATAATCCTTGAGCTTACCCGATAGTGTAATGAATTCCACCATGAGGTCCAATCTCGACCGTGTATGGAATACCCTCGGAGAGATGGCGGTATGCCGAGATATCAGGTGTAGATAGAAGGTCTGCCCTTGTATTAGTCTTGACCAGCCACCTGACAAGTCTTCGATGGAGACCTACTCAATACCGTAGTCCAATTAGCGTATCTGGTGTTCATGGCTCCTCCGAGATCTCGCTTTAAAGGTCGAGGATTATAGCCTAGGCCGCCATCCGGGCCGGGGTCCACACCGAGCAGGCCGCCCACTGGGCCGAGGTTGACAACCATGTTGGCAAAAGCACCAGTAGTGACATTGCCACCTCCTACGCCCGCTGGCAGTTGAATGTCGCCGCCACCAACACCGTCGGGAGGCGTGATGACGGGGCCGTCGTGCGGGATGTAGTCTCCATTTCCACCCAAGCTAGTCTCGCTACCATCAAAGATGGGGGAGTCTTGGGGTGCCGAAGCATATCGAGGCCAGTCCCAGTACTACTGCTATTAGCCGGACAAGTCAATTGACTCCTGAATTATCTATATACTCACAGGTTGGTAGCCGGTATAGTTGCACTCGTCGCGCAGTGCAGTTTCATATGAGTAGACGAACCAACGGTGCCATGGCATGAAATTACCAGTGTAGTGAATGGTCAGAGTCTGTTGAATATGAGTGACGACGAAGTCATCGAACTGTTCAGAGTTAGCCTTCTTCGTGTCTTGTTCGGAGCTTGAATGAAGGAACGAGACTGACGCGAGACTTGGCACCAGAGGCAACACTAGATGGTGTCCGTGCTGGTAGCTTCTGAAGACACTTGACGGCATTGATGTAGTCAAGCTTCTCCTGCTTAGACAGCGAGCCACTGAGATCAGTGAATATTAGCCGGTACTCAAAGCGATTGAATTGGGCATAAAATGGGATTACTTACTACTCCCGGCGGAAGACGACTTTGTCCGGTGTGCACTTTGGTGTTTGGCCACGCGTGCGCATTTTCACAGCCTTAGACTCAAGCTCATCCTGGAAGTCTGCCTTGATCTTGGCGACGAGAGCATCAACCTGCGTCTCGGCGTCGTCACGGGGGCCGACAACAGTTGCGTCGACAGCCGGGGCAGCGACGGCCACGGATGCCATCATGGCAGCCGCGGCGGCGAGGACGGGCGCAACCTTCATGATGTTTAACGAGTGGAAGGATTGGTAACAGTGGCAGCGGCGTGTACTAGGTTTTCTCTTTGGGGGAAGAGAAGTAGAAACCGTGCGGTGGACCACGTGGCAGAGTACCGACTGCTTGTCACCAAGAGCGAGTGAGGAGGAAAGAAGCGAATGAAGGTCCAAGAAGACGCGGTAACGTCGCAGTTAAGAAGACCTGCAGCATCCATGGTGCAAGGTAGTGGAAATGGGCCAAGCCTCGATCAGGGCACATGGCCGAAGCGAGCAAAGCAAAGACAGCAATCGGATATTATTCTAATAGCGTTTCCAATAGTTGCAGTAGGAGTAGTATGAGGACTGGGGCGAGGCAACTTGGAATGAACATGCTGCTCCATGAGTGAACAGGTTTTCAGGATCTCTTAGTGATTGGACCCTGAGACTAAGGGTCTCCTGTGGGTATGGGGCTGGTGGACACGCACGCGGCGCATGATAATCAGTACTGGCAGATAATAACAATGCGAAAACTCGGCTATTGGCTAGTTCGGTGCAAGCAGATCTAAAGTCTGAGAAGTCAAAAATATTCACCCGCAATTGATCAATTCTTGCTCGTCCATTGGTCCCGTTGCAGTGACTTGGTGTCCGGTCTTTCTGCAGGACTGATTGGGGGCTTCAGCGAGGTGCAGCATGAGGAGAAGAGACAAGAATCAGCAGGAGAGAGCGCCAGATAATCTTGGACAGGCTAGTCTAGAGCCATGTGCATGCATACATAGTATCGGTGCTTAGTTTCTGTTAAGTTGAGCACGACATGCTGTTACTTCAGTTACTTCAGGCAGGATCTGCGCCACACGCCAACGTCTCGGTCCTCCGTGGGAGGTGGTAATAACATACCAACATTATTTTGCCGGGTATATCATCCCACACTTGCGGGTCGATCCGGGTCGTCCGGCTTCTATAATCATTCCTCTTCACAAGTACATTACACTGACACAAACACTAACTCCACCAAAGGCGTCGCTGGACACTTATACTGGGTCTCTCTCTTTTGAGATATTTACAGCGCTATCATATAACTGGACCATCGTTGCATTGTCCTTTTGCTCCGTCGGTTCTCCAGCGTCTCTTTGAACTCGGGGACAAGGTCTCAAGAGGGCAACCAAGTGGAGTAGGGCGCCATCGCACGGCACAACCACGCCGCGCTTTACTATGCAGCAAGTTACCTGCAGACGAAATAACGTTACTGGTGTGTGCGGCGGGACAGACACTAAAACTTTATTAGCTGGAGTAGTACGGCGTCAGCGCTTCTTGGACAGGGCCCCACGCGCCAAATTAGTGACTCGGAACGGAGCCGGTGCACCGACCCCTGAATGTCGACCGGCCCTGGAACAGGAAGGTCACTAGTGCGGTTTACTCTGCAGTACAGTCCAGGAATTGTCCGTCCATCCAGGGACCCTTGGAGCCCTTGGGACCCTCCCAAAGCCTGTTTGGATCCCTCCGTCTCGTAAGTTAGTGTACACAACAAAACAAGCAAGTATGGGTACCGGATCATCCATAGACTTACTGTGTTTGAGTCTCGCTGGGGCCGTCCTACCAACAAAGCTTTCCCCTCTCGAGGCCTTGGATCTGATATCTAGCAAAGCATGCAGGGTGGCTGTATCTTTCTTCAATCTTGACATGCTTGTAAAGACAGGATACTGACGAATATCTGACTCGCCTGGAGAAGTTCTCTGCTTCGCGTACTCATCTCCTTGTTATTACTCTAGAACAAATTTGAAAGGATCCTAATGCTAAGTTCTCATTCCTAATTACGGGGCTTGATGTGAAGTTGGCAAAACCCCCCATGTCCTTGTTCCAAGTAATGCACTAAGCAAGTGAACGGAGTGCCACTACTGCGCGTGAAAGTGTGGTTGGTAGTGTTTCTATGACTCGGTTAGCTTCCATGCTCTGTTCGGTGGCTTCGCTCCCTGGTTATCAATGCGTTACAGTACTGTTTAGAGCATACCATAATATGGTCTTGCCAAGTGTCCCATACCGAACGCTCTACCCCGAAAGTCCCCGACTACCGAATACGTCTGGGGTGCTAGCACGAAGCTGCGGTGGCTTCGTCCTTGATGGTCACTGATCCCAAAGAAATCGCCCTTTTCAACGACGAATGTTCTAATACTCTTGACTTTGAGTTCACTTGATTATTATGATGACCATTATAACGATAGCGTGGGCCACGATGTAGATAATTTGAACAGACCAGAGTAGGATTTTTGCTATCTTGAGCCCATACCAATCCTCCGTTATTTGGTTCAAGCGGCCAGAAATGGCAGCTTTCCCCGTTGAATTATCCCTGTCAGTACCGAAGTTTTCCATGCATGGCCCTGGAAAAGGGGCGCAAAGAGGTGGCTTCCAAGGAACAGAGAGTAACCTCGTGCAGCGCGAGGTGCAGCAGCAAGGGGTGCCTGCATGAGTGTCCCAGCACGGATCAAGAACAGACCAAGATTGAGAGCCTGGCATCTGGCCCCGATGCATCTTTGCTTCACAGGTGTTTCTGTGACGAAGGAAGGTTGAGCTGATGATAAAGGGAGATGTCCCCTGATAAACAATCATCATCTATGTAGAATCCGTAGAGCATCTACTTCCGCATCTAGTCGAAAATCAGTGGACGAGCTGCTCATTGCTGCCAAAATGGCTGACGCTACGACTACCCTTCCCCCTGATGAGAACAGAGGGCCCGAGATTCTCATCATATGTGGAACCCTAGTTGGTCTCTCTCTGGTGATGGTGGTTCTTCGCCTTTGGGTAAGAATTAGCCTCATCCGACAAGTCGGCAGCGATGATTACACCATGGTTGCAGCAATGGTGAGTACAGATCCGATTTCTGCTATCGACACTGGGGATTGTCTCGAATCGGAAAGAAATTTGCAAATCCGGGGAAAGATCGACCTGTAATCTTTCTGAACTGAATCTGACATGGTTTGTGCTTTTCAGGTCGTTCTGTTTGCGGAAATGATGGTCATCATCCCTCAGGTTCAACTTGGCGGGGGCAAGCACAAGGAGTACATCAAGCCGCCAGAGAATATTACAAAGGGGTTGCATCTCAACTTCGTCACGCAGCCTCTATGCCTGATTGCCCTGCTCTTGACCAAAGTCAGCGTCGGCCTCTTTCTTCTGCGCATGGCCACGACGCCCGCTTTTCGGCGTTTTATTCTCGGCATGATCGTGTTTACAATCCTTTCAGCTACGGGGAATTTCTGTAGGTCAATTTCACTTTTCAACTCTTCGGGGGGTTGGCATCAACGTAAAAGGCGACTGGCTGACAAGTAGCAGTGACCGTTTTCTTCCAGTGCAAACCTCTGGCATTTACCTGGGACTCATCAATCCCTGGAGGTACATGCATTCCACCAGCCAATCTCAAGTTTGCAGCCTTCTTCAATTCCAGTACGTCAACACCCCCCTATTTATTGATTGCTCATCAAGCAATGGAACCGCTCACCTCAAATCTTTCGTAGGCGTTTCTGTCGCAACAGATCTCATTTTCGCCCTTCTTCCAATCCCGATGTTATGGAATGTCCAGCTCAACCGAAAGACCAAGATCGCTGTCGCTGGAATCCTATCCTTGGGTATCTTGTAAGTCGCCAATTTGTTGCACTTCTCGGTGCAGTCGTCTTTCTATGCCAGGGTCTAATGTTCTGCTACAGCGCCACGGTTGCTGCGATTGTGAAGATCACATTCTTGAGCAACTACGGCAAGCACGGCGACTTTTTGTTTGACAGCGTGGACATCACTATCTGGTGCGTAACATCACAAATAGTTTCCATAGACATAATAATCCAGCCCTTCGTTACCCTACTACTGAAATCAGACACTGACAGAGCATTAACAGGACGACTGTCGAAATCTGCGCAGCCATGGTAGCCGCAAGCTTTCCCGCACTCAAACCGCTATTCAAGACGATACTTGGAGGGACGCGATCAGGCAAATACGGCACGAAGTCGCGACAGGGCTACATTCGCAACGTGGACAACACCAGCGCTAAGCGCACCTACAAATCCCACAACGGCGACAGCGACTTCGAGATGTACGACCGGAAAGGGAACCAGGCTGATGTCACTGGCGGCTACCGCAGCAAGATGGATTCGGAAGAGAGCATCCTACAAACCCACGGGCAGCAATCCAAGCACGGCGATGGCATCACTAAGACGATGCAGATATCAGTCACGGTAGATGATTTTCAGAAGAAGAGTGTGAAGGATCTGGTATAAAGCTGGCTCGCTTACTGGAGTGGAGAAGCGCATTAACTGTATAAGCAACGACAACCAATTTTCCTGCTCTCCCGGTTCGGTATGCATGCTATGTAGAGGGCTGCCCATTGTAAACTATGATCTTGACAAGTGTTTCAATTGCTTATCAATATAGTATGTTACCATTAAACTAGCCTAAGTCAGATACTTTGAAACGGATGATGAACTCTATCGACCTTACTCGCTTCCATGAAAATACACGAAGCATTGTCTTGATTTAACCCTGCATGGAAACTTCTCCATTACCAGGCCCTGAAATGATTCAGAAACCAATACGACTCTGCTTAGTCAAAAGTACGTTCGGAATTGCCTGAGAATTTTGTGTGTGCATCTCAGTAATCCAAAGCCCCCTCCCCCGCCGCCGCCCTTTTTCTTTTGGCTGGTTGGTTGATTAGTTGGTAGTATTGAGCGCCTACCTAGACTACATAGCAACCCTGGTGAACCTCCCGAAGGGTATAAGGCATGCTATGCGAAGAGCCCTCTATCTATACATATATAGTGCTTTTTGCCAACCTATCAAAGAGAGAATTTATACAGCGATTACTGTCAAGGTAATGTAACACTATAAGAAGCCACTCAGGGTTATGACCCGTGGCAGGCAGTCACTACATCACGCATGGATTTCGAAGACGAGGAGGACATTTGTAGTCTCTATCAAGCAAGCGAAGTGTTTTCTGTTAAAGTTTTATGAGATATTATTGCTATATACCCAAGTAATAACTCCTTTTCTGGACTACTTGACCTACAACAGATACGTTCAAGGATGAAATCCGAGGACGCCAACCTTCAGCAAAAATGGGTCATTGTCAAGTCGCTCCCTAAACTTGTCGGACAGTAAATCATCAACATCCCAAGTCGCCTCAACATATCGACCATGTAGGAAGGCAGCGTCAGGCGATGCGAGCCAAACAGCAAAGTCACCGCCAAGTTCAGCTAGACACCAATGTCAGTCCCGGGTACGATTACGGTTTAAGAGTTACCAATACAACTTACGTGTCTCCCACGGCACAGCTGCTGGGTCCGGGAATATATCCTTGGTCGCATCGGTTTGGATGAGCCCGGGATGATAATTCATGATTCGCATCACATCGGATGGCACATCTTGGGCGATCTGCTCGAGAAGCATAGTGCCAGAGCTCTTGGTCAAAGGATAGACGGGCACTGGCCGGCACGAGACGAAGTCCCAGGTGCCAGCAGTTGAGACATTGATCAGAATCTATGCAAGAGGAGAGAAGACATCAGCGCACATACTCGAGGACAAAGGGTAGAATAAATTTAGGTCCTTACCGGTGTGCCATTAGAGCCACGCCGATCCTGCTTGTAGAAGTGCTCTGTAAAATCCATGTGGCCATAAACATTTACTTGGTAAAAGTTCCAGACTTCCTCGAGGCCGAGCTCAAGAAGTGTTTTAAAGGGCGATTGGCGACCGGCATTCAAGATAAGAACATCTATCACTAACCCCTTCTCGACTAACCAACCCCAGAGTCTAGTCGTGCTCCCGTGGTCGGTGACATCAACTGTGTGAACGTGGACATTGAGATTTGGGTTGATCTCTGCAGAGTCGGCTTTCACCTTCTCAGCTGCAGACTGTAGGATAGCCTCGCGACGGCCGACAAGAATGATGGTTGAGGCACTGGCCTGGGCGAAGCTGTTTGCGATGGCATATCCCACACCATAGCCACCTCCTGTGACGAGAATCGTTTTGCCGGCCTGGGAGAGTTTCGGGTTACTGGGCGATATCGCTGCGTAAGTGTCTTTGCGGACGAGGGGAAGCGGAGACTCTCGCAGAGATGTCATTGCTATTGGAACATTACTTGTAGATTCCCATTACTTTGTATGATGAATGAGACAACCTAGAATATGTACCCTCAGCCGTTCTTATACACTTCATCCCGGCTAAGTTCCCTATCTTTGCTAAGCATGTCCGCATGAAGTTCATCCGTGTCTGCTTTCTGAAGCGCAGTCGTGAATGACGTGATTACGTCACAGCTATAGTCGTCGGGCTAGTGGTCTCTTGAGATTTGTAAGTTGTAGTTATCACGCTTCTAGCTTTAAGGAAGAGCAGGTTGAAGGTGAGGTGTGATTGGTAGGATTTCCGCCGCTAGTCCGCAGCATGCGGGGCGGCGCAAATGCACACAAAAAACCAACACCGCAAACAACCAGATGCATCTTCATTCGATCCCGTCTACGAGGCCCCCCAGCCAGATATTAATTACTCAAGCTCCGCAGCAGCCGGCTACTCCGAATCATGGGGGATTTGCACTTTAGAACACGCCAAAATGCCTGCAGAGCCTGCACGAAAGCCAAGCGGGCTTGTGATAGACGGGTTCCCGAGTGCGGCCGCTGTGCAGAGAGGATGCTCGAGTGCCAGTACTATGCAAAACCACGACGGCGCATAAATACTATGTTAGCACCACGCCCGCCAGCAGGCGACCTAGAACACTTGCCTGAGCAGCAGAGCCTCGCCAGCGTTGGACAAGTGTCCATCTCGGATTTGTTCCTCGCGACACTCTCGGAGCAGAACGAAGCCGCAGCGTCCCAGTTATCTGTCGCACCAGAGGCATGGTATCAGAAGAGCAATGAAAACCAGACCCTCACAACGGCAACTACTAATCGTTACGCCGAGCCTGAGTTGTCATGGTTTCTCACTCCAGATTCGTGGGAGATCCAAAAAGACTGGACATCTACTCCGCCACCTCCGTCTTCCCTCTTCAGGAGTTTCGTCACAGCCATTCGTGGCTGGCTCCGAGATTGGGCTGTGCACGGCAATAACATCTTCATTCACAAGGAGTTATATCGATCAGATTTACCATGCTATCTAGAGGACGCGTACACGACTCTCGTCGCGTATCGAGCCAAGACCGAGGAAACAGAAGACATGGTGCTGCAGATCGTTGAGAATCGCACCACAGGCCTTTGCCAGCAGTCGGTCCTGCTGGAGGAGGTCGAGTCGCTCGATACAAAAGCTCATCTCGCTCGCACCCAAGCATTACTGGTGTACACCCTGATCCGTCTCTTCGACGGGTGCCCCCGACAGCGAGCCCTGGCCGAGGATACACTCTGCACCCTAAGCCAGTGGTGCCACCAAATGCGCGACGCCGCCGTCACAGAGGCGCCGCGGCTCTTTGAGCAGCTGACACTGCTCCGGCCCGGCGAGGACGGCGGCGGCGGCGGCGGCCGAGGCGCCCTCGAACTGGCGACCTGGCGGGCGTGGATCCTCTCGGAGAGCGTGCGGCGGACCTGGATGCTCGTGTCCTCCACCATCAACGTCTACGGGTCGAAAAAGAACGGCTGGGCCGGGTGCGGCGGCATCCTGCTGTTCACGACCCGCCAAGGACTCTGGGAGGCGCCCAGCGCGTGGCAGTGGGCGCAACAGGTGCGGAAGCAGAGCCCACTTTTCATGGAGAGCAGAAATGTCAGGCTGCTGATGGAGGAAGCGTCCCCGGCCGAGACGGACCTCTTTACTAATCAGCTGCTCTCTGTTGTGCACTCGCCCGAACAGAGAGATCGCTGGGTGGCCAAGATGGCCCTGGTTCAGGGCTAGGAATCCACAGGGTTTTAACACTCCCAGTAAAGAACGGTAAACAGCCTCTTAATGGCATGCCATTAGTCCTTCAGTCAAGGTTCAGTCGTCGTTGCGTCTGAAACTCCAGGCCAAAGAATGACCCCGCAGTTGCATCGTTCTCTAACAAGTGACGTCGAATGCTGATATACTAAGGTCAATGAGCGAATAGCTAAGCCCTGAATACATCAAGGCGAGCGATCGAAAGGTAGATTCCTGATCGAAAGTATCTCCCCTTGTTGGGTGGTAAATTGGTTCCCAATGTAGACAGGGGATGCCTCTCGCCTGCATTAGTCGTGTTTACGCCCCTGCTGTTTCAGCGATCGCTGATGGAGAAGAGGCCCTGTACAATGTGTTTTATCGATCCAAAAACAGTTAGATATGACAGCTGAAATAGAAACGCATGTCTTAGGTAGAATGCTCATCTATAACCAGGATGAGCGATTGACCACAAAGAGCACAGGCTACAAACAGTTTTGAGGACAAGGTTGGATTTGTAAAAATAGGTATCCGAAGTTACACCTGCCTAGCACAAGCAGTTATCTCAATGATCAAGACATTAGGCACTCGCTCCAAGCCCGGGTATCCTTTCTTGTTATAAGTTTGCGCAAAGGTCTTGTTGTCTAGTGCCTCGATAACCGGACGTCACGATGAGCGGCATTGAATTGAAGGGAGGTTCATCATTGCATGCCCAATTAATGGCAGTACCCATAGAGCACGAGTCAACCATTAATTCATCAAGACTTCACGAAGATCCTTAGACACAACACAAGAAAACCGATTAAAAATAGGATTATGTCGTAGTCCGTCCGTGCCTATTATCAAGTCAACTGCTGTTTCCGGGTTCTTAATCACGTCTTTCGATCTACCTCTAGCACAACAAGTGCCGCAACAACATCTCTTACTCACAATAGACAGACATTAAATAATACGTGCTATCTTCAAATTTAAACAGGACTAAATAATCTTAGGATGAAATCTCGGCCGAGCCTGCTGAGGCAATGTACCTGACATCACGAGTTCCAATCTACGAGCCAGCTTCCTCGCTGCACGGCGTGCTTCGAACTCATCCTGATCCCTCGAGATCGAATCTACAACCATGATACTCAATATATATAGACGTAGCTCACACACATCCTTACGTCTTTTGTCCTCAAGAACTCTGCTTGCTCGAGGAGGTTTATCAACGTGTCTTCGCCCGTACATTTGTAAAACGTTGATCTTAGACTCGCGGTACTAAAAGATGACATGTCACTAGAGTGAAACCGAGAAACCTGACTTGCGCTACGGAAGTCGCCTGTAGTAGAAGTCCTAGACTGCCAAAATAGGCAAATGGGTTTAACTGATCTACAGCTTCTGGCTGGCACGATTGGTCAATCGGAAGCTCTACCATAGGCATCCATCTTTCTCTCGTCTCCCGCTAGGTCTACAACGGCAAACGCTACGGCCAACGGAATGCAAAACTATTAAAGAGCATCATCTAATTAAATCACGTCGTTCTGTTCCTCGAGAGCTTCCTAGTCGCTAGTAACTGCGAATTGATCGTGCTATCGTCAAGGTTTTATTGGATGCAAGATTAGCCAAACCTGAATGTAATTTGGTGTAATTTCGACTCATTTGGCAATTTTTCACATTTGCTAACTTATAAACGAAAAATGGGCGGTGCTGCTTCAGTACCGGATGATTCGACCAGATCATTGAAGGTCATTGGCGCTGGATACTCGCGTACCGGTACGCTGTCCATGGCAATGGCACTGGAGACACTACTGAATGGCCCTGTCATGCATGGAGGATCGCAACTTCTTGGCCGGGAGGATTGTAAGTATATCGCTTTCTGCATCAGTCTAGCGATTTCAGGGCAAAGTGTTCATTGTCCACAGCGTACGTCAAGCTCTGGACCGAGGTCTTCGATGCTCGACACGACAAACCTCGATTACTAAAGCTCTTGCACAAAGCTACCGCAGGCTTTGCTGCCATCACTGATGCGCCGGGAAATTGCTTCGTACAAGAGCTGCTCCAAATCTATCCCGATGCCGAGGTTATCTGTGTTCGACGCGACAAGGCAAGGTGGTGGGATAGTTGGAAGTCAATACAAGACCAAGCAGACCAAAGCTTCTTAAAGTGGTTTCTAGCGCCAGTTCCAGGAAAACGATGGTATCCCAAATTAGTGTCGCAGTTCTTAAGCCAGTGAGTGACACACAGTTCAAGTATGCAATCCTATCACATATCTGTTAAACTTAACCTAGACAAGAAGAGATGTGGGGACCTATGACCGACCGTGAGTTTCTTCGATATTCGTTTCTGCACACTCGAAGCAATCTAACCATTTTTAGGGAGAATGAACGAGCATAATCAGTATGTCAAGGAAGTGACGCCTTCAGAAAGGTTTCACATGATGGAACTAAGTGAGGGCTGGGCACCATTATGCAAGGTTCTAAAAGCCCCCATTCCTACAGAGCCCTTTCCGAGAGCAAATGATGCCGAAGCAATTCAGGGATTGGCAGGGAAAATCTTCATTGAGGCGATATCAAGATGGATGGTCATTTTAATTGCAACTTCTTTCATTGGATTTGGTGCTTGGTGGTCATGGGGGAGAAATGCACAAGCGTCGGGGCTCTGAAAATACAATGTCTTCCTAGAAACGATATGATGAGCAACTATGGAACTCGATTGCTAAATACAGGGCTTAAACAATATATACATAACATTGAACGCCTATCGAACAGTTAGTCATCGTCATCACTGTCGTCTCCGTTCTCATCGTCGCCTTCATCCTCGTCTCCTGAGTTATCGCCATCTCCACCGTTGGTAGCCACGTTCAGTGACACAGGGATAGCGTTTGCAGATCCTGGTATTGAAGAGTTCGCCAATGCTGCCCAGGTATCAAATTCTGCAAATTTTGCCTGGCCCAGCCGCATAGTAAACGGGCCAAATCCCTGTTCGTGAAACCCTAATCGTCCGCCAGCAGTAGTTGGGCTGCCAACCGATTTTGCGGATAAGGCCCAACCCATCACTGCATCAGCACCTGTTGCGTCTGCGCCGAGACCTAGTGCTGCATCAAGACAACCTTCACATAAGAAAGTGTGTGTGAGGAATGTACTGTTGACAGAAGTCGCATCGCTTATCGTTCGGACGGCGAAGTTCCCTTTGACTTCTGGCGGATTGTCCTCATCAGTACCTTGACGGAAGGAAGCCATCACGCCGCCATTGCCATCGGCCCATGTCGCAAGAAAGAAGTTGTTCTCCATGTCGCCCGTCAAACCCAGTGCGCCCCAGCCTGCACCATTAACAAGAGGGAACGATAGTTGACCGATAAAGGAGTTGTTTGGGACAGTAGGCATCGCGAGGCCAAAGCCGAATGTTGTTCGTTCCCCGAAGAATCGCTCCATTTTGATGCCAGTTGCAGCATCAGTGAATGGGGTGGATACTTTGCTGGGATCGGAAGTTGCATCCTCAGCTAGGCTCCTTGCAGAAAGGCATGCAAGTACTGTCAAAGAGGCGCCTTGTATGAACCACGACCAGGGCGAGTGTTGGCGAACTCGAGGCATGATTGGAGTATTTAGGTAGAGTAGGTTTCAAGGCTCATATAACTTCCGTGTATCTGACTACAATTTCATAGTTAGTATAGAACTCAAGATGGTTGAGGGATATGAAGAAGACTTACGGTTGGCGTACAAGATGTCTGAGATCGGAAAGAAAGCCCTTCTATCCGCCTGCCTTGTAGATGTTGTCGGAGTCAAGAAGCGTTGACGATAACAAGAAGACCCCAAAAGACAGTTCTAGTCCGAGTACTTTATATTAATGTCGATATTCTGCTCTCTTAGAACGCAAGAGAAGATGATACGAGCAACATGCTCGAAATAGCCCCAGACAATACCCTGTCCGCACACATAGACCACGCCTTGTTGAAATTTTTCTCGGCTCTCATGATTGGTGATTCTCGGGATTCGGCACCACGCCATTGCAACTCATCAAAGCTTCCCAAGAATACAGACTTGTAGCAAGTCCCAAAAGAGACTTCTGTAGCAAATGTTAGCGGCTCAGCTTGTTTTGTCCTGTTGTGCTGAGGCTTTGCCAAGCCGTTGGCTGTTACGGATATTTTTAATCTTGGCGTTCGACCAACATATCCAACCCCGCAGACATGCTAATCTGGACGCCAAGGCTGGGTCAGGTTTTGGATTATTTTAGTGAGGGAAAGTTTTGTCGAGAACCATAAGAACCCCAAGTAATTGAGACAGGGTCCTTGAACATCTCTTTTAAATAGAATGACGCTGATTGGCTATGGTGGCAGGAGATGCTTTATAACGGTAACTCGACACGCCACTCTCTAGCGTTAAAAGAGCATGGTCGGTCCAAATGACAGCCACCACACCAGGGATCCAGGTGCAAATCGCCCAGATAACAGATCGGGATCGCAATGCAATTTCTCCAAGCAGTCTCGATAATTCCGAAACCCTCAGAATGAAGCAGTCAATTTTGCAACACGTTAATTTTGCTTGTAAACTGGCCGCCATGTTCCTTTGCACGGTTGTCAATTCGGTGAACATGTTACCTGTTCCTAACTGAGAGCTCAAGCCACAAGTCATGGACATGTTTAGCGAGAAAAACAACTGTTAAGCCTCTACCAACGTTAGCCTCTACATAAACAGGTTGACAGTTTGGGTAATGCGGAATAACACACAGTAGCCAACTCTCTTCGCGGCGTCTTGTAATAGCTCTCAGGGAGCTTCACTTAACCAAGTTTTTACTGTTTATGATGGTCTTTTCTCAATTTGGCGATCAGCGAATCAACGGGGTGGCCGATTAGCAAGGGGCTTCAATGCTTGCTCAGCCTCAGCGCCAATGTAAGCTTAAGCACGCTCGCGGCTCACAGGCTCCTTGATTGGGCGCTGGCTGCGGCTTGCCGCAGGCTAGCAAGACAGTGTGTAGGCGGCGAAAGACTGTGTTTCTACCTGCAGGCAGCCTTTGCTGCCTCACCGCTGCATATATATCGTCATCAGGCTGTGATGAGGAACTTTTAGTACCAAAAAATCTCTTCAATAGAATAGGCAGACGATACACACTATAGGTGCGCTGCATAGGAAATTTCATCAGGTTCTTCCTTCAGTCTCCTAAGGTTGGGTCAGCCTGGCCCAGTGCAATTGCGGTCATGAACGGCCTTCTAACGATACTCGGAGCTGGCAGCTCCTCAATTCAAGACGTTCTCGAGAACTCAACGGGCTTCGGGTGGTTTCAAGAATTCTTTCGCACATGGCTCAAGCTGGATATAACAACACTTGCTGCTATTTTGACTATTTTCGGAATGATATCTGGCGCGGTACGGGATCTTCAAGGTGTGGCCGTCAAGATCTATTGGTGGATCACCAAGTTCTTTACAGCGTCTATATCAATAGCCAGCAACGACAGACTCAACAAGGAGGTACTCAACTGGCTGGGAGCCCAGATTCTTACCCGCCAGGCAACACGGATCTTGACTGCAAGCTCTGAGGAAGTTGAGAAAGATGCGTGGCACTATCGGCGTTCAACTCGTGAACGGAATGATTTCAACATGGAAAAGCGAGTCCCCATCCAGTACTTACCCACCTTCGGAACAACTTGGTTTGTCTTTGATAGCCGAGTATTCATCGTACGACGCATCTCAACAAGTTACACCAGCACTTCGCTCATGGGAAGCGTACCCGATGAGTACGCTGCTGCCCCCGAGGGCGACGAGCCGCTTGTAGTCATGTGTCTAGGACGCTCAGTCAACCCGATCAAGAACTTTCTAGAGACCTGTCGGATATTTGCAGACCAGCAAAGCGAATCATACGTGACTGTTCGAACATGCAAGTCACAGTACGATAGAGGTAGCTGGGATACGACAATCCTACGACCACTTAGACCGCTCGAAACTGTGCATTTCGACGAACAAACGAAATCCGATTTAGTTTCAGACATCGCCAAGTACTTAGATCCCGTGACCAGAAAGTTTTATAACATGCGCGGCATCCCCTATCGGCGTGGTTATCTTCTTCATGGGCCAGCTGGAACGGGAAAAACCTCACTTTCACTAGCCCTTGCAGGGCATTTCGGGCTGGACCTTCATCTACTCCACATTCCGAGCGTACGAGAAGACTACGAACTTGAAGCATTGTTTGCTGTGCTCCCTCCCAGGTGCTTCATCCTCCTCGAAGACATTGATGCAGTGGGAATCAAGCGACGGATCGAGGCTACCGAGAATAGTGATGATGAAGATGACGATGACAAATCGCAGATGGCTTATCGTTCCAGGTGTACGCTTTCAGGTCTTTTGAATGTCCTTGACGGCGTTGCTTCACAAGAGGGGCGAATTGTGCTCATGACGTCCAACTTTGCCGATAAACTTGACAAGGCTCTCGTTAGACCAGGACGCATCGACAGAATGATCTACCTTGGATTCATATCTCCGCGGAGCGCTGAGCTCATGTTTCTGCGCATGTTCAGCCCCGAATCAGAGCACACAATTCCTTCGGACCCGGTTGTCGAGCTACCGCCTGGGGAGTTGGAGAAGCTGGCAATGAAATTCTGCAACCAAATTCCAGACAACACGTTCACACCAGCACAGCTTCAGGGCTATCTGCTCCGACACCGTGGCTCACCTTCTACGGCAGTTGAGGAGATAACAGCCTGGGCGAAAGAAGAAATCGAACAGATGGAAGCAGCGAAACAAAAGGCCAAGGAGATTGCTGCAGCAAAGAAACGGAGAAAGGCGAAATACAAGCTGGCTGCTCTTCAAGGAGTTGCGGCAGCTGAGGCAAGATTGAATGAAATGGCGAAACAAGACAAACCTGGCGAAAAGACAGAATCACCAAAAGAAGTTTCCGAACAGACAACCAATGAGCAGAAGCCTACAGAAGAAGTTTCGAGCACCAAGGATAATGAAGCTCCCAGCCAAATCGAATCGACAACTTGAAACCGTCTAGCTTCTAAAGTGTCTTTATCGACAGGCGGAAAAGAGGATCTTTTGAAACGGCATGTATAGACGGCGCATCTGAGATCGGGGAGAATGGGCGAGAACGAGGCATCTTTGTGACAATCAAGTTCGTATCCTGCATACAAAACATAGTGGACGATAAAGGAGCGGATATTGCAGTGTTTCTCGTGCTCCATGGCTCAGTTGCTTTGCTCTACAGATTACAACCCACGTAAGATTTCCGGTGGAATCCAATGGATTGGCTAGGATGCCTTGATTGCTATCATAGCGTAGTTGCTTTGTATCGGTAATAGATTCGGATGCAGGAATGAGTATATAAGATGCGTTGAATGACCGTAAGACCATTGCATGCACGACTACGTGTTTGAGCAATACGAACATCACTACTATTCCATAAGGAAGGTAGCTTTCAAGCTCGGCCATGAATTCTGGTCCGTGCAGCATACTTGGCACAAACAGCATTCATCGATCAATGTATGCAATGGTAGGTGCTTCTAACAGACTATCGACTTTTTACTGAAATCTACTCACAACGTTTCATCTTGGCGGAAGGTTCTCTTCCATGACTACACAGTGAGGTGGTGGGGTGGTGAATTTGAGCTGCAAATTTTCTGAAACGACGAACAGTTTTGGCCCTGCGATTGGATTATTGGTGGATTTGTGCCATTTACTTCTCCCGGCCAGGATAAGCCTGCAACTTTAATTTCTCGAATGTTCACGCGTGATCACTCCTATATTCGTTACAACCTAACCCACGCTTGAGTGAGCTAGTCCGTAGTGGAGTTTATGATGTCAGTATAGTGAGCGCTGGCTGCCTTTCTGGTCATACATATGCCTCTGCGTGGATATAAAGCGTGTGAGGTCGAAGTCGAATGTCGAACAGAGCAAGACGTGGCATTCACCCATAGAACGTCAGACATTCACGATATCTGAACCATCTTCCAGTTTCTGTTGCAGATAATCACGATGCAGCTCACTTACTTTACAAGCTACTTATTCCTAACGGTCGCATCTTGCCGAAGCATTGCTCTAGATTCTCTTACTCCCACCAAGTCCATATCGCGACGAGACAGCTGGGGTGGTGCTGTATCGCTCGGTCCAACGAAGTCTCGTATCACTCATGCTGTGACAACGCTTACTCCTGGCAATGCACCTTCAACTCAAACAGGCGAGCTTTTCCTATGGCCTGGCATGTCCAACGGAACCGGTGACCTTATTCAAACAACCTTAGAATCATGGCCTTCCAATGCCTGGTGTGGGGCTGCAACCGGCCAATGGTGTATTCGATGCAGTGTCTTTGGCTCTTTTGGGCAGCTCGACGGTCCAGCGGGTGTTGTCTCAGGGAATACGCCGGTCAAGATCGAGTACGCTCTTCAGAGCGATGGCACGACCTGGTTACAAACGGCTACTGATGCAAGCACCGGTAAGGTATTGAGCACTTACAGTCACAACAGCGGGCCGTACATGACGGGCTATGGAACGGGAACTGAATGCGACGGAGGATGTTCAGGAACTATTGCGGCCCAGACTTACACAAACACCGTCATCACGCTCGCAGCAGCAGATACGTCCTTCGGCAACACTATTGCGACTAGCCAAGGCGCCACGTATAGTGGTCTTACAAGCAGCAATGGTGGTCAGGTGTGGACAATTGCCAGCATTAACATTCCAAAAATGCAATAGTCAAGACGGGGTTGGAACCTGCCGCTTGGCCATTGTTGATTATGAACCTTTGTCGAGATACAGACTTAAGATAAAACGTCGCACGCGCGCGTCAGTCCGAATTTAACTGATCGGATATGCCCAGCATTGCGGAATCTGTGATACAAATAAGACAAGTGATAAATGATTGTGGACATGGTTCCCTATCATATAAATTCAAACAATGGTGTAGTAGCGCGCTGCTATCATTCAAGTTTAGATTTGATGAGAACGCTCACCATTCCCTGGTCTAAGTGGACCTTAATCCATTCATTGAAGCCACCTGACGTAAAGTGCATGATTTCATTTACGCCCCGCAGACTGCATCTCTTCAATGTCTGGTGTATTGGGTCTATGTCGGTTATACAATCTGTAACTAGCTGAAAATCTAAAGGTCGCGCATCCCAGGTTTACATCAGCAGCGCTCTTTGCCGGCCGGACTTATGCTGATGCTTTCAACAGAAAGTGAACCATTTGTCACCACGAGACCTACACCGCCGTTTTCGAACTGTGTGTCAGCAGCCTCCAAAAAGACATCTCCTACGCGAGCCTTTATTATATCACCCTCGGCGCTTACTGCCATCTCGTAAGGAGTATCTACTTTCCATTTGAAGTCCGTAGTGGCAAGCTCAATCCTTCTCTCGTCCAAGGCCTTTACAAGCGCCAACTTGCCGCCCTCGACGAACAGTACAGCGTACCAACGATTTAGTCCCTGGACTCTGATGGCGACGCCTGCTGGCTGGCCGATGTTGATTATGAAGCTCGAGGCTACGATCTTATAATCGGTCCACTCTCGCGTGCCGTGAATAAGAATTCCTTCGCCCCTATTTTGTGCAATCGAGATTGAAGAGCTCATCCATCGATGGAATAGATCAACGCCCTGAACCCACGCACGATGCCAAAAGTCGGATGGACGTGTCGTAGGTCGACGCAATATCATGTCTGGCACCCCTTCCCACCCTAAGCTGTCCAGCCACACAGATCCATCGACTGGCTCATTGGCTGCTGCAATGGCAAGTCCAATCTGCTGGATGGGCTGGCTGTCCATGGCATCCGGGATTGTCCACTCAAGAATGCTCTCCTCTCCTGGATTCAAATTTGTAAGCGGTCCGTAAAGCGGCACGAGCTCGTCATTCTTGCCGTATGTCTTAATTCTTAGTCTGATATCTAGACTTGCCGTGACATCTGACTTTGATCGCAGCCTAGCTTTTACTTTTTGACCAGGGTACACAAGCGGTGATGCCATCAGAGGATATGTTGAGCCCATCTGAAGTACATCCTTTCCAGTGAATGTCTGCGTCATGACCTCCACAGGTTCTAAACCCCGCCCTAATGGGGCCAGTCGAATTTCAAGGCCTGGGCCACGGTCACCATCGATCGCTTGCTTCAGTGTGACTAGTCCGGGGATGGCGCCGTCCGAAGATACTTTGAATCCCTGAATACTCCCTGGAAGCGTAAAATGGAACTGAGCACCGTCTTTCGGAGGCGCAAGGGGCGCTACTCCAGCAAGTCGGCGTCCAAGATTAGCAACGTTCATAGCAATCTTCGCAGCATCGTTGATAGAGTACCCGCCATCTGAGCTTGATATGAGCGCACGATCAGCAAGCGGACCTCGCCAGTCCGGGCCACCGTCGAACGAAGAGATTCCATGCATGATGGCCACCAGACATCCTACATTTCCAGAGTTGCAATCGGTATCCCATCCACAGGTATTTATGATGTGCATCGCTTCGTGAAAGTCGTGACCGCCATACAACAGCGCCATGATCATAATGCCATGGTTAGGCATAACGTGGCAGTTGCCGCAAAACTTGTCATAACCGTACGTCTTCTCAATCCTATTGCGTGTGGTCATCCAATCACCGTCTTCCTTTGTCCATGCGCGAACATCACTGATTAACCGAGCGATAGCTGAATCTTCGGGGACGAACTTCAATCCCGTCTCTAAAAGATGCTCAACGTCCTTGGAAACGAACGCCTCAGCCTCCATTGCTGCCCACAGTTTTGCCGCATGAACGGACTCGCCGTCGTGACTGACTTTGCCAGCTTGTTCAGCTAACTTTGCTGCCAGAGCAGGGTTGCCAGGAGCTACCATGGCCCAGCCATCAATGAAAATCTGGGCGCCTATCTGCTCGGCCACCGTTTTGCCGTTGGTCTCGATAGAGCCACTCGCTGGGGCCGGGATACCATTTTTGAGGTTTAAGTAGGCAGTGTGTTCGGTCGAAATGCCTCTGCCACCCCACCACAGGATAGTTCTACCTTCAATGATGTTGTTCAGCCATGTCTTGCCAATGGCTTCGGCGGATAGATCAGGGCTAACGCCGTGTTCTTCAAATGCCCGAAGGAAAGTGAAAGTTCCGGATACATCATCATCAGTCACAACAAGTGGAACGTTCAGTCTATCGTGGACATAGCTCCGAATAGGCCCAAGTTCCTGAAGAATGCGCTGGTGTGTCCAACCTTCAAAAGGACGCCCGAGATAGACACCGATCAGCTTTCCAAGAACGCCGGCATAGACCCGCTCGAGGTAATCGCCTGAGAGAGGCGTCATCTTCGGGTGACAATGTGTCGTGTATTTGCCGGGCACTTGAGAACTCGTGTATGCCCAGGATGTCCTGAAGTGGTGTCACACATTGATTGATGAATGACGCACGATTTCGAGGTCTTGTCTGCCGATGTCGCGGAGATACTGAACCAACCCCCACTTTCGTATGCAGTGACAGACTCGTACTGTACGACCCGAGACATGACTTTCAACTCAAGTATGGAAAGCCCATTATTGCAGAAAACACGCTAAACGCCTCTGTATGCCGATCATTATGAATGCGACCGGAACACGGCTGCAGTTCTACATTTAATGGAAGAGCGGCATCCCGCCGGTTGGCCGTCCGGGATGATCTTGTTTAATTGACATGGTACTATTGGCAGCCCACTGAGACATCACCACACTCCACATAGTCTATGGGCTTCGAAGTGTCAAACCCCGCGTTGTCCCCAGGCTCTCCACATACAATTATGCCGATCATTGATTTGGGCACACGCAGGTATGACTGAGGCGGTATTACAGCGACTTATCGTCCTTTGTTCTTGCTGTCTCCGAATTACGGCGCGTGTCTTGGGGTACTGCGGATGTATGGATCCAGCTACTACTCCAACTTGTGGCCGATATACAAAATGGGGCCCTTCGAAGTAGCTTAGCTTCAAGTCAAGTCGATCACTGCCTTCCTCTAATATTGGTACTTGGTGCGGATTGAGTCATATGAACAACAATGTACCGAATCGCAGGAAGCTAACGGTCAAATAGCCGGTTCCCTCCGGAGGTTGACCTGAAAATATTGGTTTTATTGCGCTCGGTTGTGGTATTCAAACTCTTTGTCTCGCATGTCATATTGTCCCATATAATTGCTGATCACGCTGTTCTTCCTCACAATTCTCTGACTCCCCTGACCGTAACTCCTATGGTACGATCTCAACAACATGAATCCTGGTCATCACGAGCACGAGACATCTATCGACTCGGCTGCTGCCGCCGTCGCTACAGAAGAGGAACACTCTCTAACAGTTATTGAAGCGTTCAGACGATACCCTGGCGCAGTATTCTGGGCAATAGCCATGGAGCTTACCATCGTCATGGAAGGCTATGATACTATACTTATCGGCAACTTGTTTGCCTACCCTTCTTTCGCGGCGAAGTATGGTACCTATTACCCTGATCTCGACCAGCACGTCATTTCAGGCCCCTGGCAGGTTGGCCTTGGAAACGCAGCTTCGTGTGGAGCTGTCATTGGTCTGATTATCAATGGCTATGTCACAGAACGTTACGGTCACCGCATCGTCACGATGTGCGCCTTAGCTGTCATGTCTGGACTGATCTTCATCAGCTTCTTCGCACCCAACATTGGTGTGCTCACGGCGGGTCAAGTTCTAGTTGGCATACCCTGGGGTATCTTTGCCATTATGGGGTCGGCCTACTCCTCTGAGGTTTGCCCTCTGGCCTTGCGAGGATACTTGACATCATTCGTCAATATTTGTTGGGTTATCGGTCAGCTCATTGCTGCCGGTGTGCTTCAAGGGCTAGTAAACAACACAACGCGTTGGGCATACCGGATCCCATTCGCCATCCAATGGGCTTGGCCAGTACCTCTCTTCCTCCTCGCACTATTTGCCCCGGACTCCCCTTGGTGGCTTGTTCGTAGTGGTAAACTAGACAAAGCCAAGAAGTCTATCCGCCGCCTTGCCCCAGGACTCTCGCAGGACCAGGTTGACCAAAAGCTAGCGATGATGGTGCACACTAACAACTTCGAGCAAGCTGTCAAAACCGAATCTAGCAATTGGGACTGCTTCAAAGGCACCAACCTCAGACGCACCGAGATCGCTTGTATGGTGCTCTGCTCACAAACTTTGCCGGGGCAGGCTTTTGCCTACCAACCTACGTATTTCTTCACCCAGGCTGGATTAGCTGCATCCGATGCATATAAACTCAATTTTGGTGCCATGGGAATTGCCTTCGTCGCAACATGTGTATCATGGGTTTTAATGACCTTCTTTGGTCGCCGAACTCTACTCCTCGCTGGGTTGACTGGTTTGTGTATTGACCTATTGATCATCGGCACCGTATCATGGGCGCCAGCTCAGGCAACTGCTACCTGGGTACAATCTGGTTTTGCTCTGGCATGGCTTGGCATTTACTCGTGTACTATTGGACCTCAGTCATTTGCCCTCGCAGCCGAGGTGTCTGCCACCAGGCTCCGTTCGCAGACAATATCAATCGCTCGTAATGCGTACAATGTCATCAACATTATTGACAACACGGTCGAGCCATATCTGATCAACCCAACAGAAGCAAATCTGAAGGGTAAGACAGCCCTCGTATGGTTCGGTGTCGCCTTTCTGACGACCATGTGGGCCTTCTTCCGTCTTCCTGAGACGAGAGGTCGGACATACGAAGAGTTGGACGTGCTTTTTGAGAAACGCATTCCAGCTTGGAAGTTCTCATCTCAGAGCATGGATGTCATTGCCGAGACGGAGGTTATGCAGGGCGGTCGCCAAAAAATGGCAGTTGAACATGTAGACTAAGCGACTACCCTAAGAGAGTCAAGATAATGTGCCAGAACTGTTAACACAATGTGACCTTGCAAGGACGAGGCTTACCTTGCGGCTACATTATCACTTGCTGGCGGCGGGTGGAAGATCCCAAGAGTCCGCGTTCCCGGTTGTGAGACACAGTGAGCCGTAAGTACATAAATTAATCACTGCTTGAGATAAAATTTAATATAAACTTATTTAATGCAGAGAGAACGCCTCTTTCCTGATATTTGAGCTGTTAAGCGCTGCGGCTTTCAGCGACCGTCATTCGACGGCCGTCCTTCTCCTTGGCGGCGATGGTAGTCGGTCGGTGTTCCTCTTTGGCAAGACCCGCCGCCGTGGAAGGTGGTGATGCCGTCCTGGCGGCTCAGTCCTCGCTAGAGGAGCACGCCTCTTTCGTGCAGGTATAGCTCGAAGGCCTAGTCAAGGATGCGCGTGCCTTGCTCCTCTGTCTAGGAGGTTAGTGCGATGGCTGTCTCCTTGAGGGTGGTCGTGGAAGCGCATGGATAGGTGGACGAGTCAGAAAAAGCCGTGCCATCGTTGTCGTCAGTTTCAGTAAGGTTTTATCGGGTGGAACGCTGGCGAGGCGATTCCTATGGCCTCCATGCTTTGTTACCAAACTGTAAAGCGCCAGGTGGGTGTTGTCTGAGCTGAATGGTGAGAATGAAGTGATTACTAGTTGGCGAGCAGCCAGTTATGCACTTCTTCTCCATCAGCTGCAACCAGAAGCATGTGCGTTGCTGAATGAGCGGTGCTCTCCTTTTGATGGTAACCATGTGGCGGCCCAACCTGACGGCGTCAAACCCCACTGTCTCGGAATTGAACGTTGTTCTCCCCCGGCAATTCCCACAGCTTCTTCCATGCTGCTCGCCGTGTCGTCCAAACGCCCCCCTTGGAGGAGCGCCGGGATCAAAGTCAACACTACTGCAAGCACCAGGCTACCTCCGGCAACAGGAGAACGTTGAAGAGAAAGCGGTGTGGGACAAGAGCAGGCGAAATGACTGACCCATCGATCGAAGGGTACTCATGGCTCCTTGCCTAATATCATGCCTGTGACCATCAATCGTTGTTCCAGGCACTCATGTGGGTCGCAGCGCCGCGTGGGGTCTTTGTAGCTAGACGAGTGCCTCGATGTTTGAGAACGCGGGTGGAGGCTCTACCAGTCTTAGAAAAGCAACTACAACAATGCGGAGAGACTCAAAAGAGTCATCCTTCGTTACACCCTCCAACTTTGACTATCTAGTAACTCCGATATAAATGCTAACAACCACCATGAGGCTATTCTAAGCTCGGCTTGAGAGGGGAGTATTGGATCTAGGAAAGTCAAGGTCATTCCGATCCGATTCTTGAATAGCTATTCTAGTATGGCTCAGCCTCCTGTTAGATCCCTTCTCAATCAACCAAGTTGCTGGTTCAACCAAAAACGACATAATGAGTGAAGATAGATACATGCATGCATGCGTGCCGATGTGCCATGTCATCAATCAATACGCCGTTCACCTTGAAGATCTCGTCGTACCTGAGGCTGCACCACAACCACAGCACGAATTTACATAGCACTGATATGACCGTATCCGTATCGTCTTGCTGGTCTGGTATAGAACTTCACGCCACCGTTTGACCAGGTCAGGATGTGTTGGTGATTGAATTGGTGCAGCAGTTGGAATTGGGAGTATTTTTAAATGTTGGACGCCATACGACATTCGAGTGAATTCATGTGCAAATTTTGGTGTTGATGCCCATATTGCTGGCCACATGCGAGTGACGTCATGCAGCGCTGTTCGTCGCACATCGCGTATCGCGCAGTGTGCGCCTTGCGGAGCTGCACGAGCTGCATCGAATTCTTGACCACGCGGCAGACTGTGAGATCGAGCAACAGGCAAAAGCAGCATGGGACGCCTGCGTTCACGACAGGCTCTTGCTACTCGCCCTGGCTGGTTCACAAACACGACCATTCATTATGTGAGTCCTTCATATCAGTATATGACCTGCACCTGTCCAGATAGCTGACTTTGTCAAGTACCATAGCAGCCATTGTTCCCTTTCTGATCCTATACAATCTAGCAGGAGTCTAGGTTCCTTCCTATTTCGTCGACCTCTACATTCCAGTCGAACCTGACAAAGAAATAGATTGTGTCATCACAGACCTTCTCATTAATGACCCAGATCTAACCTCGCTCAGTTGGGGACGACAACGACACCATCCCGGATATCCCACCAATTCTTCTCTTGCAGATTGTGGACCACAATTGGCACTTGCTTGTGGCATGAGAAGAGCAGGATGTAAAGCCGGCCGAGGAGCCCATGTTGGTCATAATGGGTGATGTCAATATTGGACATACGCGGAACTTGCACGGAATCTATACTCTACTGAAGATACTTCGACGTCTTGCTAAGTGGGCGGATGGACCCTTCCGGACCTGGTTTGAGAACAATGTAATTGTGGTCAGCCTGAGGCGGCGGTAGAGGGAGATTAAACAGCAAGTTGCAATATAGGAGGGTTCTCTATCACGTCTCATTTTGTGTACCTCTGTCCAATATTTACGAAAGGTAACTCTGGTATAGATATCAATAACATAAACAGAATTATCGTAGGAATTTCGTCAATTTCTCCCCGGCATCAAAGATTAGTGAATCTTTTGTAGTTGGAGCTACTGAACAACAGGAAATGCTGCTATGTGCCAGCGTGCTTTCCAGAGACTTTCAAGTTTGAAGTTTGAAGTCACCGACCACTGCCCTATGGTCGCTCAAATAGACGTTTGCTTCAAACAGGTTTGGCAGAACTGCATAACCCTCTACCTCCCACGGGAAGGTCCCAAGCTCACTATGCTGACTTGATCCATCGCAAGGTCCAAGGAAAAGGAAATCTATCCTACCTTGCTCATCCTTGTCTTTATCGGGTTCAAATCCGGTGAAGGTGATGATGTCTCCATAGCGGTTCTCCTCCTCCACCTCATCGTGTATGTCAACCATGTACCCGCTCGCCTTGATGGCGATATATGCCTCCTGCGTTGTGAACGAGTTGAAGTCCCCTGCGAGGAAGATGCCAATTCTAGCTGTGTCTCTACTCCAGTCCTCGTGAACACGCTTGAGGGTTGACAAGATAATCTTGATGCTTTCCTCGCGGCTTTTAGAGCCCGCATTGTCGAGATGAGTATTGGAAGCAACAAGCCTCTGCTTTGTCTGAATGTGTTCGAAAACACCAACGGTCAAGATGCGAATCGATCCAGCATCCCATCCTTTGCTGGGCCGATCTGGGGTTGGGCTCAACCACACTGGCTCGTAATGAAGCAGCTTGAACAGCTTCACCGGGTAGAGGATCGGACTATATTCGCCCTTTGTCCTGCCGTCGTCCCGGCCAACACCGATATGAGCCCAGATCGGACCGACAGGCGGTTTGTCAGCGCTATGGCTCGGATTCCCGTTCAAGGTGTTTAGAATATCAACCAGCTGGCCATGGAGAACCTCCTGGAGGCATATGAAAGACCCCAATCCCTGCGACGAGGGAGTTCCCGCCAGACCTGCAACAGGTAGAATGAGACCATCGGGCCGAAGCTCATGCTGAAGCTGATTGAGAACAAGGGACCGCCGCTCCGGCCATGGTTTCTCGTTGGTGAAGGGGTCCGAAGTTGCGTAGCGGATATTGTGAGTGATGACTCGGAGCTGGAGCGTACTGCTGCCACACGGCGGCGATGGGTCTACCAGCACTGCCGACGTGTTGCTGAAATACTTTAGTGGATTCCATCCCATCTTGAGAGGACCTGCTGCCGAGACTCTGAAATTTGCGTTGTGTTGACTTGTAAGACCGAGCGTCGCCAGCTAATAATGAAAAAGGTCGTGTCTCGGAAGCCGTCTTTCGGACGGGTGTTGCCTTTCATCACGGTGATTGCCTCGGTGTGCAAAGCTTCTAGCCAGTCTTCCCGCACCACGAATCAATACTCTCGTTGCGTAACGCGACACACAGAGGTTGCCAAATCATGAGGCAAAATTCCACAATTGCGGCGTCTGCAACTGCAACGTTGATTGGCCAAATATGAATAGAACGATTAGGTAGGCAGACTAGCTATTCTCTTGATATATTATATAGCATCAAATAGTGTCTTATAGCTTCGTAGAGTATCCCTTCCTTAGTCTAGCCTATACGTATAGATAGATAGGTACTTTGGGTCTTCCTTGCTCTGCTCCTTGACCAATATAACAACAAGAAAGTTCTCAACAATACTTTAGCGAAACAGCAAACTGCTTTGATAATAGCTACGACAAGCAGTAGCACCCCAACGAGGACCAACCTTCTAATGCCTACCCGTTGTTTGCCTACCTAACCTACCTACCACATCTCCCTGATGAACGCCGCCTGCTTTCTCCATAAACAACACCCACCTACTGCTTTCTACGTCATGCCTGAGGAGACGCCAATCGGCAATCTTACACCTGCGGCCCAAATTTAAAAGAAACAAGCACTTAAGATGGCATCGCACCTTATATAATATATGAATTACAAAACTCCTTTAGCTAGGTCTATTGCCCTGCTATTGTTTTTGAAGGGTCTCTTGGCCTAGTATTAAGGTTCTTACTTCTCTCTTGAGTATCACGTGCTTTTTGAATACTAATTTAACGAACGTTTGCCTGCCTTCTACACCGCTTACCGCTAATCATCAGCGAGCGACATGTTTTAAAGTTGCAATGTCCCAATGAGTGCAATAAATTCGACTAAACTGAAGACTCCTTCAGGAGAACTTGAGCTTTTGCAATGTCTTCCTGAGTCTTCCGGCTCGCGCCCAGCTATTCTTTGTCTGCACGGAGCCTTCTGTTCGGCTCACGACTTCCAATTCCTGTTGCCTTACTTTTCGTCGCGTGGTTTCCCAGCCTACGCCCTGTCACTTCGGGGCCATGGAAATTCTTGGGCACCATCAACTCTTCGAATGCACTTGACTAGCCTCGATGGCCACGTTGATGATATCGGTATCGCGCTGGACCATATTTCTGAGAAGCATGTCTCTGCAGTGATACCCCCAATCCTGATCGGTCACTCGTTCGGCGGAGGCCATCTGCAATACTTTCTATCTCGCCTAGGTAAAAATCATGTTGCCAGTCCTGATGAGAAACATCGAGTATCTGCCTTGGTGTTGCTCGCATCAGCCCCGATATCTGGTGGTGGCAAGGAAATCATGGCAAATTGGGAGCAAGTGGAGACGCAGGGCAAGGGGTACAAATATCCATGGAGCCCACGGAGCCAACTCGAAACCGTGGCTCAGGTACGCAAAGCCTTCTTCCAAGACGCAACAAATGTAGCAACAATAGAGAAGTGGCACAGTGAATGCAGGACTAAGGCTGAGGGCATCCGCGCTGGGTTGGCAGTATTATGGCCTTTTGGTGAGGCATCGGATGTTCTTGCAGCCCTGAGCGGTATCGAAGAACATGGCGTGGGACGCAAAGTCCTGCATATTGCCGCTGGTCGCGATTGCTTGGTAACGCCATCCATGGTCGAGGAAGACACTCTTGCCTACCAAAAGGCCGTAGGATCCTCTCCAGATACGAGCCAGACTGTGATGAGTACCGTTATCGAGGATAGCGCACATCATCTCATGATGGACATCGCTTGGGCCGAATGTGCAAAGAAAGTTGCGGATTGGGTTGAATTACGAGACATTAGTAAACCCTAGCAAAGTAAACACATATGGGACCTGTTGAATATATCCTTTTCGAAACACAAGTTGTCCTTTTCAAGGTGATTAACTCAGGATTAGCTAGCAGGTTCATCAACAGGTATAAACTAGAGAGTCTGGAGAATTATCCATTTGATAATCTATAAACCTCAGTTGAATCCCCACTGGATCTCCAATAGTTCAAGCGCACCAATAACTGACAACTTGGTGATCCGCTCAATAGTCACCTACCCCGCGTCCTATTACCCCATGTAATGAAACTGCCGACGGACGATAGATTCTTTTGGGGGTATAAGTCCACCTCTGAGCGGCTTCGTGTCACCGTGACTCCGAGAGGTAGTGAATTCTCGTCTATGTTTTGCCTAGGCTAGGCCCGCGACACTATGATCTCACAGGTGGTCAACATCCGGCTCCTCGCGAGCTCTCTTAATGTAACCCATGAGCGGGGCATATACCCGCCAAAGAGCACTATGCATGATTGGAGCGGTAGGCAAATTCAGTCTAAGCTGTCATGTGAAGAAGGTCTTGATCATTGTTTGCTAGCACGGCCCCGAGATACCCGCTCCATTAGTATTAGTATCCATGGTTCGCTAGCTATAAACAGGTGCTATTCAGGTAGCAGAGATTATTGAAGTAACCCTTATATCAGGCTGCGCGCTTTATACAACGTCCCACAGCATCAGTAAGTTGTTTTACCAAAGATGGCGCTGTTAATATCATATAGCCCCATCTTATTTGCGAGTCTGACCACGGCTCTTAATTACAAGAATCCCACGCCTCCCATGGGTTGGAATACCTACAATTTTTATAGTTGCAATCCAACTGAAGAGATTGTAAAAATTAACGCACAAGGCCTCGTGGATCTTGGTTTTGCAAAATTGGGATATTCATATGTAACTCCAGACTGCGGGTGGCCAGCACCGGAGCGTGATGACAATGGACGACTTCAATTCAACCCAAGCCTCTTTCCTTCGGGTGGCAAAGCGCTGGGTGACTATCTACACAGTCTTGGACTAAAGTTCGGTCTGTATTCTGGTGGTGGATATCTTCAGTGCGGGTCAGTGGCTCTTCCAGCTTCCTTGGGTAAGGTGTTAAACATTAGAATGACTAGGACTGTGACTGAGCGTTCTAGGTAACGAAACGGTTGATGCTCAAACTTTTGCGGACTGGGGTGGAGACTCGCTCAAGTATGTCATGTTCTTCATGATACTGGGAGTCCCCTTGCTATCTTCTGGATACTGACACACTTTTAGATACGATAACTGCTACGCTACAGAAGGTGTATTTGTCGATTATGATTCAGAAGCTTCCACTTCCCCTACAAGATTTCAGACAATGGCCGCAGCTCTTGACACAGTTGCGCGCCCTTTGTCGTACTCGATATGCCAGTGGGGTGTTGGCTATGATATTGGGATTTGGGCACCCCCGATAGGCAACACATGGAGGATTAGCAATGACATATACAACAGCTGGAAGAGCATCTGGCGGATTACCAATGAGGTTGTACCTTACTATAAGCACACCGGTGTTGGAGCGTATGCGGATATGGATATGTTGATGTGAGTCCCCGAGACGAGACCAGCATTCGTGAAACTGATCATTTGACTAGCATCGGACTTGGAGCATTGTCCTTTGAGGAAGAAAGATTCCATTTCGGAATGTGGGCCATGAACAAATCACCTCTCACAATTGGCGCGCCGATGAACTCAAGCATAACTCCAGCGGAGTCTCTTGCAATATTACGCAACGAGGAGGTTATCTCGATCAACCAAGACCCCTTGGGGGAACAAGCGCAGCTCATCCGCCGATTCACTGAGGAAGAGTATGACATTTGGTCCGGTAATCTTTCAGACTCACGGATGGTGATCGGATTTGCGAATTGGAAGAATGACAGCCAGACAGTCAGCGTTGCACTCGACGTAGTGGGCATCTCCAGTGCCGTGGCCAGAGATGTCTGGGCTTCTCAAGATCTAGGGACTATTAGCGAGACCTTCACAACCGAGCTTGCTGGACACGAATTGAAAATTCTCATTCTGTCTGATATTGAACACACTGGGAAGCGGCCAAAATCGGAAGGATACTACACTGCCAACAACGCGACGCTATCAGGCTCAGCAACACTCACTGCCTGTAGTGATACGCAATGCCTACCAAGCCACAGCAAAGTAGGCTACATCGGCGCAGACAACTCAACCAAGGTCACGTTCCCCGGAGTTGAATCGAGCAGCAGCGGCACGAAGCTTGTTGGTGTCGACTTCATCAATTACGATGTTGCGTTGAACACGGCTTGGGAAGACGGAACCAACACACGGAACATGTCTATTGCAGTGAATGGCATGACTGCTAAACGTTGGGCTTTCCCCATCTCGGGAGGAGACTGGTTTGATAGCGGGAGGCTTTCCATCCACCTGGACGGCTTCAAGAAGGGAGCGAACGAAATCGTCTTTACGGCACCTGGGACTACCTGGGCTCCCGACCTGGTAGGGTTCGAAATCTTTGTGTAAAACGAACCTGTCGAACATGTAGGGCTGAAAAGTTCGGCGTTGTGTCTCTAAAATGGCGGTATTTGATGATTCTGTCTCCATCGTGCTCGTGTTAATGTTCTATCGTGAATCAGGAATGCGCACGCTCATCCGACGTCACGCCGCGCACCGTGCCTTTTTGAACCATCGAGATTCGCATGGAGTTGCAGATGGCGACCTGCATGAGGTGGGACCTGTGGCACGCACCTCGAGTGTGGAGATTGGTTTTTGAGTCATGCCATATGTTAGAGTGATGTGCAAATCACCTTCACGACATGACTTCTAGATGTCTTCATAAAAATCTCAAGAAGCTGTTCGAGTCTTTAGTGAAGTGTCGCTCCTCATTGCACATGCACGTGAAATTCGAGGACTACCAATTTAGGTAACCCGCATATCGACGGGTATCTTAGGTACGAGAGGGAAGGTGCGGAGAGCAGCGAAGCAGCTCGGTCTGCCAGGGGTGGGATAGCCCCGGGTGGCTCTTTCCCCAACTACAAGCATACGACAGTGTTACCACAGTGCAAGTGTTACCAGTCGCGACTGCCCTAAATAACGGCTCTTG